ACAGCTTCGACTCACTTTTTTACAATCCCCTAAACGGTCGTTAAGTCACGTGGAGCTAAAGGTCATTTCAAAAAACGCTTCAACCCTCGAGGGTGGATTATTCGTATTCATTTTAAAGCGAAAAAAAGAAGTAGACTTGGCAATATAAATATATTATTTTTATTGTAAAAAATAAACTTACCAGAAAACGAGGGTTCACTAACCAAAAGCGAAATTAAATATTAAATATAGCTGAATGTATGATTATACACTAAAGATGACGAGACTTAAAAGGGATTCGTATTTTAGTATATGTATTAATAAAATTATTCATGCTTTGTGATAAATTAGGTATATGAAAATTAAAGAATTTTAATTTTATTATTGTAAAATGTTTTGTTAATCATTTAAAAGATGCTGTAGTGAAACTAATAATAAATTGGACTTAATAAAAACAATTGATTTTTACGATTCATTGGCTTACACTGAATAAAATTTATAGCTAATTAAAAACTAAATTGACGCATGTTATATTACGTTACTATTTAACATAATTCAGTTGACCAAAAAATTGTTGAATAAAATACTTCAAACACCTTCAAATTTAAAAAACAATAGTTATTTCGGAAAATGTTCAGTCCAAAGTTAAGGTGATTTATTTCTCCTGTGGGACTAAAAGAGAGACAATTGTATAATATACAACAAAATCATTTGGGAATGAAGTAGAGGGTTTTGATTGCTAGTTTCAAAATGTACCCTACTAAAAGTATTTTTTTCAAAATCGCTATTCCTAACGATTTCATTTATTATTATTATTATTATTATTATTATTATTATTATTATTATTATGGGAATTACAAAAAATATAAGCTGAAAATTTCTTTGGTAAATTATAATTTATTATGATATAATAGTATATTTATACAATATTTTATGTTATGTTAGTTGTTAGTATACAATTAATGTATGTATACATATAATCTGTTACAAATTTTCAGGCTTAAAATATTTGAAAAGCTTAACTTGATTAGAGAATATCACTGTTTTATGTCTGAACAGATCAAATAAAAATACCCAACTATTAAAGCAAATATTTTTTTACGCGTTACGAAGCCGCCGATATAGATGAAAAATAGGGTGGTGTAGCTTAATGAATCTACACAGGAATAAGAAAAAAATCCCCTTGTGTCTGTCAATCTACGATATTATCAACTTATCTCCACATGCCAAACTTGGCAGGGCTAAAAAAAAACAAATTAATTTCAGCAACAAAGAAATATACCGGGACGAGGAAACGGTAGCAGCTGATTGCGAATTAAAGAACGTGTGCGTGTGTGTGTATGGAGTAGCCTACACAACTTTTACTTCAGCATACGGCAACGTTTAGATCATTAGAAAGAACCTACCCCTCCCATAATATAACATTGCCCTTCCTCCTGTTAGTGTATTTAATTTATGCGGCATCACACGCGCACACCCTTCATGCTTCGAGCACCCAACGACGATCGTGATCAGATTCAACAAACGACTGGTCATGTATAATATATATATTTAACTCCTTACTCTACCCTCCTCTTTCAGTCATTATACATGGGATGTGTTTTTTAAGCTTCCGCCCTTTGCCGGAGTTTTTTTTTTATTTATTCCTTGCAAATGGGTTTAATTCGGACGCCATTTCTCGAACCTAAGATGAGATGAGAAATTATTGCTATCCATTTTTTATCACGGCTTTTTCACTGTTTTATCTCTATCTCTCTTTAACAGAGTATATTTCAGAATTTGTGTGCGAAAGGGAAAAAAAACTTTGTAGGACAACACAAGGGGTTGTAGCAAATGCGACGGCGTTGCTGCAGAATAAGCTTAGAGAAAGCCTTAATGCCGTTTCAACGTAGTTTCGCCCTCTGAATAATCAAAATTTATGAGTTTTATACGAACCCCGTGAAATGACGGTATATTTTCTATCCCAGGTCCTTCACCTCATCACACCCCAAGCATGTTGCAATTCACGTGATCATAATATTATATATATTCCTAAACCATAGCTACTGTCATCAAACTCCATCATTATAATAACTATTTTGTTTACGTGTATTTCTATTTCCAAAAATCAAGGAAAAGTGATTACATGAATATCTACAAAAAATTAACTACAGATTAAATAATCCGAATTCATTTAACTTAAAAATAATTTACAAATTAAGAATTATAACATGCATTTTACATTCAATTATAGTTTTTTCTAATAGAGCGTCCAATAAGTAAAAAAAAAAGGTTTCTATTACCCTCACTGTCCGTAAAAATTAATCTGTTTTCATTTTACGTACCTTTTGAGGTAAAATCGAAAATTTTAACAAAAAAATAGCATACGGTAAAAGTGAAAACAAAATAAATTCCCAATTTTTTTTTTTTTTGCATAATAAAGTAAATTACATTAGCTTTAATTTAAGATATATATAAAAGTGTCAGAATTTCCGGAAAACTTTCAAAAATTAAGTTGAAAAAGTAAATTTTTTGTGAAAAAGTTATCATTTTAAATCCCCCATGTGGGTAGGTAAAGGGTCACATTTATAAAAAAATATACCAAATGATAGGTAAAGAAATCAAGCATCTATAAAAACAAAATAATATTGATTTGGTAATTTTTGAAAAAGTTATGACAGTTTTAAGAAAAAAAAATTGAAAAAATTTCGAAAATTTCGAAAATTAGCGATTTTTATATTTGTAATTTTTTTGGAGGTTTCCGCCATTTACGGGGAACGAGGGAAATTGTTTCAATATTTTAGGGTAATTTCTTCGACTAGTTATGATTTGTGATTTTTTGACGTGTCATTGAAAAAAATCGGATAGATGAGAGCTGAAAAAAAGTGGTAACAGACACAAAAAAAAAACACATCATAGTAAAACTTATCTCACTCTCAGCTTCGCATCGAATTAAAACTAAAATATTTTTGACTAACAATTTCTTAAATGATTAGTTCTATCAATTATAAAGTCGTTCATGATTGCTACTCTATCATGTATTTACTGTCCTTTTGCGACAAACAGTTATACAACTCAACTAATGTTTGGAATATTCATTCAGTTTTAAATTAGTTAAGCATGTCATTGAATAAAGAGAACGGCATTTGTAAAAACTAAGTCATTGACTCGATGACAATACCGATGCAAAGACTAAAACTAGTTTTTTAGTAAGTAGTAGTTTTCTTCCCATCTGTGTTGTCTTTTTACCGGAGGCTGCGACGTCGATTTATTTTGATCCTGTTTTGTAACGTGTCCCCGAGGACAGTCCGAGAATCGTTTCTCGTGCAAAAACTAAATGGGACTAAAGCTCAGAGGAATGATTCAACACTGTCGTACGTGCATTATCATTTTCCCTTTTACCCGACCAGCAAACACACACACACACTTTCCCTCTCAGTTGTCTGCGTTTATATTTATATGTATTATAAATGTACATAAGACGTACGATGGATACATTATACTGCAGCGGAAGCTTGGATGTTTATGGTATTAACTACAAAGGTAAAAAAATTCCTCCAAAATGACAAAAGCACATGCTAAACACCATATAAAATCAAATTTATTCAATCCGTAAAGAATAGCAAAATGGTAAATTTATTAATAGTTATATAATTAAACTAGTGAATAATCTACTCTATTTCTCAATAACTTTTAACGTATTTTAAGGGTACTCTTATATAGTCAAAGAATTTATTTTATTATTTTCAAGAAAACGCCATTATGTTAATTTTAATTTAAAAAAATATATATTTAATATTCATTGATAATTTTGATAGGATTGATATTTGAACACGGATAATATAATGGATAATTTTAAATGAAAATGTATTTTCGAGTTAAATAATATTGTTCTTTAATTATAATTGTAAAACAATAATATTTATAGTACAAACAAGTTTTAATAAATTTAATAATAAATATATAACATGTTATAATAATAATAAAGAATATAAAATTAATAACTATTACTTTAACTAACAGAAGCATATTTATAAGGAGTTGGAAAAAATTAGTACTTTTGAAAAGATATTGATAAAAAAATAAACAATAAACCCAGCCACTAGAGACGCAACATAGTTGGAATAAGCTAAGATGATATTTGTCAGTGATTAACACCACTATTGTAGTAAAACACTTCGATTAGAATCTGTTAAAATTTTTAAACAGATCAATATTTAACAATTATTTAAATACAATACTAAAAACTAAAAGCTTATAAATTTTGTCCAAATGTTTATTTTTTTTTTTTTTTTGATGACCATATTCTCTAAACGAAAACAATTTCCCGACAACATTTTTTTATGTGAAATAGTAGAACATTTAAAATCTTTGATTTGATATAGATTAAAAGTTGTCAAACAATCAGGAACTTTTCAAAAATCAAGTTGAACGATTTTTTTTCATATGCGAAGGTAGTCTCTTTCAAATTTTCCTTGTACCTAGGATTTTCATTGGATTTTAATTAAAAAACATACCAAAATAAAACTTATTATCTCAAGTACATTCTATTAACATATCATTAGAATCAATGTTTTCAAAAAAAAGTTATAGCTGTTTTAAAATGCAGATAATTTTTTTTTAATTTCCTTTTTTACAATAGCGTAATTTTCATTTATTGTGAAGATTTTTTCTGATTTTCGGCGTCGGATTATTATTATATATTCACCATTAAAGAAAGAGCTGAGAAACATAAAAAAAACGCACACTACACAATTCAAAACCTTTTCAACTTCGAAGCTAAAATAAGATTAATATTGTAATTTGTTTTAAATATTTACTTTATTTTATATTTTAAGTGTAGGTATTCTTTGAAAATAATAGCTATTAGCTGAGCTAAAAATATCAATTTCAGTTTTTTAATTTAACTTTAATCACATAAATCTAATAATTACGTCAGCTAAACAGTTAAATAAATATTTTTTATGATTAACATGTAAAGTAAAATAAAAATCATAAGAAAATTCACAAAAAATACTCTTTATTCTTTTTACAACTAATGTGGCAATTTTTTCAAGTTGAAATTATTAGAGATTGAATCATTAAAGCAATTAAACATAATTAAGTGATAAAATGAAAACAATTTTGATTTTCATATTAATGATGTCTTTAAAAATAAGCTTAAGTGTATATGTATCATATTTACAATGCACCCATTCTCGTTATTTTCTAAACTTTTTTAGTCATAATGAAAGATTTTTGTTAGAATTTGAAAAAAATAAAGATTATATCACAATAGAAAATCTTATGAACTATGGCAAGGCACTTCAAACACATGGTAAAGTAATTATGATATTTTTGGATGACGTGATGAATTATAACACCAATATATTTCCTTTTAATTTGATGACGATAAATTTGTATTTAAATAACGTTACTGGCTCTTTAAATATGATTGCTCAAAATGAAAATGATGAAAAAAATGATGCAAAAAATTTATTTGAAGGCTATAAGATTATTCATTTTGCAGTTAAAGAACAACTAAATATTTTCATAAATAGAAATTGTAATAATTATTCTTTTAATTATCATATGGTTAATTGCAATCCTCCAATCGGTGAAAACGAGTACACTACTAATAACCTATTAAACGTAAATGATGGTCTTAAGAATCGAATACTAACAAAGTTAAGAAAATCAGTAGAAAGAAATTCGTACAACAATTTTCATCCGAAATTTATATTGTTTTGCGATCTAATGACCCAACACAGAGAATTAAACCAAATTCGATTCACTCCACTTGACATTCAATGCTCTAACCATACTCGTTTAACTTTACACGATATATTTCAGTATATGAAATATAATTTTAATTCTAACGATGTTTTAAGATACACGAAAATGGTAATTGTGGCTACATTTCGGCCAATAGGTATACTTATTCGCAACTTTTTAACCTTAATTCAAGTAACATCTTCAGAAAATTCAGACAGTGTAACATCTTGGTTAAAACCGACATTAATTAAAAAGGGTAAAAAAATAATAAGTTATGTAATAGACTTCATTTTACTCCATATCTTCGATTTTAAAAAGAAATTTATAATAAACGACGTCCTTAATAAGTTTGATAATATCTTAAACACTTATATTGTAAAAAAAAAGATGACCGAAATTGATAATATAAAAATTAATACATCAATAAAAAAACTTTCGAAATTCTTCATCAAAAATAAAATATACTTTACAAGTGATATAGTTCTAACCAATGAGAATATTAATGAAAATAATGCTGATCAAATTAAAAATCAATTGGAACAAATCATGAAACAAGTTGATATCTATATGATAGATTTGAAAAAATGGAGTGATTATTTTAATCTAATTAGAATAAAATTTAAAATTCGGTCTTTCAGTATTACAGATCATAATACATTTATTGATTATAAAGTTAAAGGTAAGTAAAAATTTAGTAACTAATATAGTGAGTGAATTATTTTTATCAAATATTATAATAATGCAAAACAATCAAATGTGCTTTATTTTTTATTTTTTCTAATAATAATTTATTAAATAAAAATTTGCGATGTGTCTTATAAAAATAAAATTTAAATAAGTTTAACTAAATAACTGATCATCAAATCTAATAAATTTTTTAAATAAATAAAAATTTATCAAAATTTTATTTATGAATCTTTATCATCTTAATGACTAAAGCAATTATTTGCAATTTGTGCACATTTATGAATCTTTGTTTTATTTATTTTAGATCATATTTGTAATACTAAAACACATTTTGAAATATACAAATCTGGTACGAACGATAGCAATAAAATTATTATAGAATATTTTAAAGATGTGGATGTTGTGAAAAATGATAATACAGAATTTAACTTAGAGAATGTAAAAAATAATTCTGATGAAAATAATATCGATAGAAATGACTCTCTTGAAAATCAATTAAACTTTAAACCTCGTTATATGATTGAATACTGGCCATACAATAAGTAAAGAGATGTTATTAAATTTTTTTTTTTAAATAAATACTGTATATTGTCATAACTAATTTGCAAAGTTTTTTTTTATTTTATTATACTCCAAGAATCTTTTAACGCTAGCCACTCAATTTCAGTTAAAATAATAATTATGTTAAGAAAATTATTTTGGTATATTGTAGATTTAAATATTTTTGATTTTTAAGTTATTAAAGATGTGTTTTTAATTCATGCCTATTACCTTATAAGGGTGTTAACTTTATTATTTTTAATAAAAAAAATGTATATTTAACTAGCTTACAAAATAAAAAATTATTATCAGACAATTTTTTTTTAATTTTAACATTTTTTTATTTTATAAGCTATTTACATATGTATGTTGCCATTAAAAAAAATCAACCTTCATAGCAAAAACGTGTTTCAATTATGGCACATCAGATGATATCTGACAGTAATTATAATTACTATCATAAAACATTTCGACTGGATAATTAAATTGGTATGAAAATTATATTTATTAAATATGTACTGTAATTTTTACGGAGATATTATACAGAGTGATTTTTTTATCATAACCCACTCAATTACTTGCAGAATAATAATAATTTAAACATTTTTTTTTTTTATTATCTTTAGTTACACATTATTCTTGAATTTTTAACTATGTAATACTTTTTAAGTTCATCCCTTATGCCTTGGAGGGGGGTCAACTTTGTTTTTTTAAATGGTAACACATATTTTTAATTTAATAAAATGTTTGAGTTTTTAATTTAATAGTAAATGGCATTTGAATTTTTAATATAACTTTATTAGCTTATTAGATATAAACATTTAAAGTTTCAAAATTTTGAGTTAATATACATGTATAATACACATGGGATTGTAAATACAGGTAGCTAATTGGATTTTTATGACATTGCTGTCTCAGTCACGGATTGTTTATTATCAATTATGATTATCAATAGATATACTTTCTGTATTGTCAGTTAGTGTATTTGTAAATTCATAACAATGTGCCTTACTATCATTGATAATAACAATGCTGTGTACCTGCTAATATCGATTATTCTTCAAGTAATTGAGTGGGTTATGATAAAAAAATCACCCTGTATAATGTTATAAAGTTTTTGCAATACAGAGGTATTCCTTTAATATTATCCACTCGATTTCTCTTAAAATAATAATTATATTGAGGAAATTATTTTTGATATTTTAAATTTTATATATTTCATTATCATATATATCATATTATATTCACCTTTTATACCTTATAAAGGTCTCAACTTTATTTTTTGACAACATACATCTTTAATTAGTAGATAAAATGAAAAATTATATAATTAAGAAAACGACTTATCGATAACAGTTATAGAAATAGATCGTCAGAAGTTATCAACATTTTTAAATATAGAGTAGATGTTATTTACTTATATATGATCCGGAACATTTTCAAAAGTTAAATTAAAAATGTTCTACTTTTAATACGCATGTTTCAAGTTTTAAACCTTCTATATAAGGAGAAATTTTTAAAAAAAGTATTTCAGATGATAGAAGTATACATCAAGTATTTACAAAAAAAAAATTTTTTAGTACACACATTTAAAAACAGTAATAGCAATTTAAAGTTGAAAATATAAAATATAATATCGAAAATTTTAACACAAAAATAGCAAGTTTTTAATTACAGCAGACATTTGCACACAGAAGATAAGTCGTGGGAATAACATTTTTCTTCTAATTTGTAGTATGGAACATAAGTTTTAATTTAACATGTATTTAAATCTCGGAGTATTTATGAAACACTTTCAAAAGTTAAGTTAAAAGTATTAACTTTTTATTGAAAAGTTGCTTCTTTAAAACCCTATTTGTAGGCAGGTAAAGGATAAGATTTTGAAACAATAAAAAATTTATACTAAATTAAATGTAAATAATTAAAGGTATTAATGAAAAAATAAAAAATTGTTTTTATACATCGATTTATAAAAAGTTTGGACAATTTGAAGATAAAAACATTTAATAAATATCGAAATTAACCGATTTTAAAAATATAAATTTTTTGGGAAATTTTCTCTATTTAATTGTAGTGACAAACATAAATAAATGACAGTGATTAAAATAATTATTATAAAAAACGCTTCTATGCAAATCTGTAGATAGTGTTTCATATTTATGAAGAATTACTGGATTATTGCAAAAGCAAAATCAACTCCTATTTACTTAATTATATCCTGAATTAATTATTATTGTATAATTATGTATAATACATAAATAAATACATATTATTGAAATTAAATTTAGTTTAAAATGAATATTTTGTATTGTAATTTTCACGGAGAAATTTAAAAGATTAAAAAACAGTTATATTTAATTAAGGTTGAAATTAATATTTAATAAACATTAATTACAAATGTATTCATCTATAAAAAAACATGGTATCTTAGCTATTTGTTCCTACAAAATATAATGTAAAGCCATAGAGACCGTTCTCTGAGTGGTCATAAACAAATCAACATGATTCATTCGGCTTCATGTGCAAACATTAGGCTCGCATAACACGAACAAACGGCGAAAAAGAATGCGTGGTAAAGGGAAATTTTCAATTATCCTTAATAGACGGTAATTCTATACTTCCCCTTTGCCCCTCCTTATCGTTAGTTGCGGCCGGCAACTCTGCAGGGATGTTATTATAGCAAAACGTACACACATAATGCTCGAGTGAAACGTTAAACGGCACACCCTGAACCCAACTGTAATTGTGTTTATATATATACACAAAGAAAACATTTAGCAGACTGAAAAAAGTGATTTGGGGATAATATCCGCTTTCTAGAAAGAGAAGGTTATATTTAACAATTCAGACTATTAATACTTTTGTATTTCGAACAATTTTTTTAGTCCCAAGAATTTATTTCTTAAAATAATGTTCTACAATTAACAATTTTCAGCATCATTTAAAAATAAACAAGGTAACAGCGATCCAAAATAACTGCAATTATTATATCAGAAACAATGTCACTTGCACATTGTAAGAAAGTTTCAGTTGTTACCCTTCACTCTCCCTTGCAAAACCGACTACTGAGCCGCACGGTACCTCGCGGTACTTACAAGATTTTTCCGCATATAAACTGCGCCTGCGCCTATTGGCAATTATGTTTATTCACGCTCTGTGCTGCCACCCAAAGTCCCTTCCTCTCAAGTTTGCAAGAAAGGTCCGGCAAGTAGAGCGTATTATTCCCCTAACCCTACAACACACAACTGCATCCCTCTTTATCGTCCATATGTATATATATGCACATACATTCTTTGTAATTCCTACACCCCTCCACCCAACGATTTTTCTCATTCTGGAATCTGTTCTCTTTCTCTCTTTCTCTCTTTCGCATATTCCCTTTCACCGTTGACAGCCGTCATTCTTTCGGACAACACTACTATCAGACCAGAGGTCTTTTCAAACGATCAATATCCACTACTTTTATTCATAGTTCAATTTCCTCCCTTTCCCAACCTAGTACTAACTTCAATATACGGAAGTTAAGTCACCAAAGAAATTTTATTTATTAAACCGCACTTCGTAATCATTTTTGAATGTTTAACTGGTAATAATAATTGAACAAATTGATTTAGACGATCTATTGAGGTTAGTGAAAATAAATGCCTAATATTTTTTAAATCTGTCTAAAATAAATCTTAAAATACAAATTAAGTAAGAGTTGTTAAAACTTTTATAAAAATAACGATATGAAAAATTGAATAACACATTGATGTTTTTTTTTCGTTCCAAAACGACGCTCGGTACTTTATAACAGAACCTGATAAAATTTGTTAACATTTTAATACATAAAATTAAATACTCAAAATACGTTTTGTTTAGGTTAATAAAATACAAATTTGACATTTAAAATAACGTGTTTATTTTATACTAAATTATTTAAAGTGTCGCAACAAAATTAAACTAAATGATCGATATTATTGTAACTGTATTAGCTACTTCAAAAGGAACAAAGTTTTTCAATGTTAAAAAACCAAAAATATTTCAGGCGAGAACTAGGGGAAACCAAAACAAACATAAAATAAAATAAAACAAAGCTGACTACGCCTCTTAAGAACGACTATTTCCGTTTGTCAACATACAAAACGTATATATACCTACAAGAAACAATGAATAGTGTACAAAAAAAACAACTCGGAGCTTGAATCAAAAGAAAAAACTACTAAAATTAAATTCATCGTAGAATTTTTTTTTGCTCTAGAATTTTAGATAATTAATAATCAGGAACAGAAATTATCCAAACATACATATACATACAATACATATACACATTAAAAATCATTAGATTTTGAAACTGAAGTCTTAACTTCGTTCTTAGTAAATAAAAAAAAACCTGACTTAAAAATAATTATTAAGTCCGACAATTTTTACAATATTTAAAAAAAAACGCAGCCGGTTAAATGAAAAACTCAAACCAAACTTTCAGAATTTTTATCAAAAATCATTAACTTATTTTTAATAATTTATTTTCCAAAATTTTTACAATTTATTTTAATAATTTTTTTCAATTAATAATTGGAATTTCCTTTTTCTGTTAATGTAGCATGTAATAATACTTTTAATAAAAAAATAATAATTTATAGTTAAAATACTGAACTCAAAGCAGAGTATGGTAAGACAGGATAAGTTGACAAATGGGGTAAGACGATGAATTCAGTATTTCTCAAAATTAACCATACATACCATACCATACACACATATCAAACACCCTTACTAGCATAAAAGTCTCCTGTGGTACACAATATTACTTACTAGTACGAATACGTTAATAGTAGTTGTAGTAAAAAATTCATATTAGACATATTTTGAACATGAAAATTTTAGGTACAACCGTATTCTCAGGTAAGTTTTATAACTTTATTTCTTTAATATTTGAAAAGACTACTTAATATGCTCTTAAAAATAATAATTATTAATAAAAACTGTTCACTCAAATACATAAGTAATTATACTTTTTTTTCGGATAGTTAAATCAAATTTTTTTTTTTTAAATAAAGTAATATCATGTTATTAACTAATAAATCAATCCAGAAAATAATAAAACAAAAAGCCTTTACTGACTCGACAATATAGAATAACTCAAGTGCGGTTTGTTAACCGTTTCTTAAAGTAAGTAAAAATTTGAACGTTTTTTCGGGAAATCATAAATCACAAACACTTTTGTGCTTGCTTTCTGTATTGTCTACCACCGATAACTACCCATACCACTGCCGGTATTTGAACACTGGCTTTTGACAAATTATCATACGCCGTTTGTAATAGTCTGCGATTGAAAAAGTACAAAGGAAAATAAGAAACACGAACGATTTTTTTAGAAAGGGGATACTCTATCTGGACTTGAATGGATAATTTTGCGGAATAATCGAAAATTAAGGAACCTACGAACGTGTGTGTGTTAACTTAAGGGAAAGCAAATATCGACGGCTTACTTAACCTCTACGACCGATACAGAATACGCGTTGAGGGTGAATTTCGACTATTGATAAAAAACCAGCCAACCGACAACCCCGTCAACTGGTGACCACCACTGAACACTAGGGATCCATTCTAATTCATGTGAATAAAAGTCTATGATAAAAAAATGTACATATAAAAAGAGTCTTGAAGAGGGGACGAATTTTTCGAGGGGATGATTCCCCAATAACAACTGTGTATAACTCAAGGGTAACAGTAGCGGAGGATGGACAATATATTTTTTATCAGCTATTGTTGTTTTGTTGCCTTGGAGGAGCCGTCTGAGCCATTAGGCCGAATTGAGAAAATATTTTTATACATGTGCCGTTCTATACTTGGCCTTCTATTATTATTATTTTTCTCCTTCGCTCTCACTCTCTCTTGTTTTTGCCCTTGTTTTTATCACACTGGTCGAATCTACACCATGTAATTGAATTATATTTTGTGTTTTTCCTTTTACCCCTTGTCGAAAATCGACTTGTTTCCATTTATTTTCTTTGCCTATGCAATTCAGCATCATAACACTATATTAAATCAATCATATAGGAATATAATATACTATTATTACCGTTTTATCTGATTTTGAAGCCGCTTTAATCAGTGACGGCGTTTTGTATAGACAAAATAGAACATGCCTATTATAAAAAACGATATTCTCCCTTGTTTCTGAAGTGAATATTACAATCATATTCTAAAACAAAACAATAAACAATTATAAATTTAAATACATTTGAAAATTTGATAAATTATTGTTTTATGATATAGTCCTCATGATATCTTATCATACAGAGTGATTGATTTATTATTAACCACCAAATTTCTCCTAAAATAATAATAATCAAAAAACATTTTTTTGGCATAGTTGAGTAGTATTATCGATTTGTAAGTGGTTAAATTTATTTCAGATCTATCTCTTATCCCTTATAAAGGCGCAAACGTTATTTTTTTAATGGCAACACACATATTTAAATAGCTTATAAAATTAAAGATGATTTAATTAAGAAAATTACTAAAAACTTTTGTATCATAACTTCGGAATTTATTAGCATATTTTACTTTAGTGGAAGTAGTAGGTATAGCTGAAAACTATCTAAAGATAAAAGTAGTCACGACCGCACTTCACCTCTAGTCTAAATTTTAAAATTCTAATAACTTTCGATATATTTTACCATTTAAAATAAAAGGAGGTACACTTATAAGGGATGAGGGACGGACCTAAAATGTATTTAACTATTTATAAATCTAAAGATAAATATAACTAAACAAAACGAAAAAAAAATATTATGTAGATTATTAATATTTTAGGTAGATAACATTTTTTTATAATTTATAAATAATCTGATAATGACCAAATTTGACTTCGCCACCTTCTTAAAAAACCGTCCAAGTATTCAGCACAAAATAAAATATAAATTAATTTTCATTCCTTAAATAAAAAAAAATTAACAAAATATTTTTGGGATTAAAATATTATTATCGTATGATGATGGTTAATAATTATGTACCATGAACCCAACTAAAATACTATCACAAAATAAGTAAAGTAATAAACAATCATTTAGTTTAAAATCAACTAATTAAAATTATATAATTTTATAATTTTGAGTTAATATAAGACATATTTTTAATTAATGGAACTGATTCCTTGAACCAAGAAAAGTTAGATATTTATGTAATAATAGTTATTTTAACAATCTAGTACATCTCATTAATTTGTTTTACGCTAGCAAATAGTATATCTATTGATTTGTGAAGCTTAACTTACAAAGTCAATCATTTATACTGTTATTTACTTATTACTTAGATTGTTCAGTAAAATATACTCCACAGTACATTAAAACTTATTTTATGAATTTTTCATTTACAATTATAATGCTCAGCGTCATATAAATATTAAAGATTTTTATCATCTATAACTTCACGGTCCTACCTTTAATATAATTTAACTGCGTATTTGGACGACTTTACGAGCTATAAAATATCGCCCCGAATTATCTGTTACTTCTTTGGTGCCCATTTACGAAGTAAAGTTAAAAGAAAAACATATAAATGCTTTTAATATGTATGACATACAGAACGTATTTTATTACAAAAAGTTGAAAAATATATACAGCTTCCAATTTTTATTGATGATTATATTTTAATAGTAAAATATAACATATGTAACTGTAAATACTTATATTTTTCTATGATTTATTATGATAAAGTTATTTTGCATTAAAAATAAAATAGATACAATATTATGTATCAAGAAGATAAATGCCAAAAAAATATTTTATACATTTTTTATTAACATTTATTGAATTATATATGATGAGAATAGTGTTTTTAACATTAGTGCTTAGTTGAAAAATCCATTATTGTCACACTTAAAAAAAGTTTGTGTTTTATTATACAATATTGTAAGGAAGAATAACGCTTAAACGTTAAGGGTATTTTTCTAGTTATTTAGAGAAAAAATTCTGAAAAATATGTAAAAACAGTGTTCCAATTAGAATTGAACACACGACCTCAGGTTTACAATACTAGTAATCTAACCGCTGAGCTATGCAAGCTTGACAATTACATTCTTTTGGAAATAATATTAGACCCCTAGGTTTATATTTTGAATATATGCACACAAGATCAGATTAAGAGAAAAATCAATTGTCCCTCAATGTCTTAATCCGGATTTGTATGTACATAAAACAATTTTTTATTGAATTAAAATTTTTAATTAATCCGTATGTTCAGTATAAAAAATTAGTATTTTAAATTTACAAACACATTTTAAGAAAAAAAAATTAAAAATGAATCTACTCATTTAATTTATTAACAGAAAATAATTTAATAGAAATCACCAGAAAATCATTAATTTAATAACAATTTATTTAATAATTATGCTACAACATAAAAAGTTGCCAAAAATGTGCAAAAACTATGCCCCCAGTGAGAATTGAACTCACGACCCCTGGTTTACAAGACCAGTGCTCTAACCACTGAGCTATGGAGGCTCAACGATGGCCTTACAACAAAATATTACATGTGATTAAAAGTTATTCGAGAGGAAAGGAAACTTCTCTCGCATAACTTAAATTTCTTAATTATATGAGACTATTTATTTGATAGTCAAATTAAATATTTGTAATTACTTGCTTCATAAAAATTAATTTGAATAAAAAGTTTGTATAAAAAGTCTTCTTATTCGCCTTTATAGTTAATTTTACTTATTATTGTGTTTTTAATTTGGCTTGATAATTTTTATATAATTTTTTTAAAAATAAACTAGAAAAAAATTAAATGTATAAGTAATTGAAACGTTATGAAAGTAAAATTAGAATAAGCATTTTAGACGTGACGAATCAGATTATTTCTCGCCGTAAAAATATTATTATACATCAAAATATAATATTCTACTATTTTAGAGGGCTAAGCACCTTTAGTTACGTCCCCTTGTTATACTTATGCAAGGAGTTTTAACATAATTTTAGATATATTCACTAGTTATAGTCTATTTTTTTTTTTAATAGACTGTTACCTGCTATATAGTAGGACACAATATATTTATAACTTATAAGATCAATTAATAATAATGTATAGGTTTTAAATTTAAAAGCTTAGTGAAGCACTATTAAAAAGAACTTAACGTGAGTTTCTTTTAGTCGTCGGAGTACAACTGTTTGTTTAATAACATAGTACAATAATTTTTTAATTGCAAAATACTTTTTATTTTTTTAATAAAAGTATATGTCATTTATTGATATAAATAAGGTTCCTGGGATACAAATACTTTAAATTATGGTCAAAAGTTAAGGATGGGTTTTTAAACGCTGAATCATAGACACTTTCATATTGAAGAAACTTTTTGTATTATAGAGTAACAACTAAAATAAACATTTATTACATATATTTCAAACATAATATGTTTAATATGAATATCAAACTAATCTAAAAATATTTTGAAACTGCATTATGTAATATACGTCCTTAACTTTCATTATTTTTGTTCTTATTTTATCTAAGCTTTTATATTATAGAAGTACGTTTTAAACAATTTATATAAATTAGAAAAAAAATCATTGAACGCAATTGATTTATTAAAAAAAATTTTAAATAGTTCTTAGAAAGTTCATTTATTAAATAAGCAGTGTTCAAAAATGTGCAAAAAGTATGCCCCCAGTGAGAATTGAACTCACGACCCCTGGTTTACAAGACCAGTGCTCTAACCACTGAGCTATGGAGGCCCGATATTCACATTTGCTTAAAGTTCTCATTTTAAAGTAAAGACTACATATCAGTAAGCCATTTTCTGTAAAAATATATAAAACTAAAATAATATACATCAATATTCTGCAGTATAACTAAAAACACTTCATAATTATGTATAACAAACTGAGCACAATAGTGGTTTAGGTTTAACAAAACAGTTTAGGAGCGTAATACAGATTATATCTTTTTTTTTTGAAATACTCATATAGAAATATTGTAAGAAATAATTTAAAAAATTTGAAACTTATAAATATTTAAGATAACAATCGAATAGATTTTAAAACTAGTAAGTCAATAATTATTCTATTATTACAGAACATAAAATTTATAAATGCAAAATTACAAATATTACTATTATTTAGTGTAAAATTAAAATAAAACGAAAATTTGTTTTAAAGTATTATTGTAATGTTTTTAATTTTCAATAAAAGTATACTATTTCAATTTATACATATCGGTGAGTTTTTCATCAAGCAAATGCTAATGATAATGTCAACATATTTTTACATAATTTTGAATTTTGGTTAATTATTTAATTGAACTATATTAATATTATTATATTAAATTTATAAGTTATGTTTAATTTAATACATTATTGAATATTGTTGTTTTTTAAAAATATTTAATAGAACACACTTTTATCCAAAATCTACTAACCAAATTATAACTCTATTATAGTAGTAATTATTTTATTGTATTGAAATTTTATTTTGTAAATATTTTACCAACACAAAAATATTTTTACATTCATGAACTTACAAAAATAAATAAATTTAGTACCAAATAGTGGTTAATCATTACATTTTACCTATTTTACAATTCTAAATTATTAGTTCAACATTATAAACTTCACACTAGATCACATTCTTATAACAAATTTATGGAACAATAAAATATTTTCGATCATCTTTGGTTATAGAACGTAATGATAATAAAAATATGTTTGGTTGGGTTGGGTAAAAAATGTAATATTATATTATTTATTCACTATAAAAATCCAACAAAATTATTTATTAAGTAATTGAGGAATTTATATCTAAAGCAATTTAAGTCAATTTGTATTATTTTACTTCAGAACATTAAAGTATTTAAATCCTTTAAGAACTAATAAAAATATAGATTTTGTAATTGCAATAATATTGCTTTATAATATAATTTTATTGCTATCGTTTTTATCAAAGTAGTTTGAAATATTTATTTATCAAAAATTTAAAATTATATGCATATTATTAATTCTTAGTAAGAGAGAAATATTATACTTAAATTTTAACCTGTTAGACTAAAAGGGTATTAAAAATATTCCTTGGAAATTAAATAACATAATATAAGATTAACGAAAGAACTCACTTTTTATAAAAAAATTTTAATTTGAAAAAAAATGTGTTGTTATATAATATTTTTAGGGTATGTAACACTACAGTATTAGTATTGGATCTTATTTGTTTTAAATTAAAAGGACAGTAAGTTTTATCCTCAACACAACAACAATGTAAAAGAAATGAATGTTTATATATATTTTATATAGTGTTATTAAATTTTTTATTTTTTTCATTTATTAAATGAATATATTCACTTTCACTTACTTGTTAGTTAGGTTTTAGTTTATTAATTTACAAAACACAAATTTATAAAAAGAACTAGTCCATTTTCAAAATAAATATATTGATTTAAAATACAATCTTTTTTTCCTGGTGGGAATACAATTACAGGACCTTTTTTAAAGTCTTAAATAATTTCGATAGACAGGGATGCAAAAATACCGTATTTTATTTTCAGAGGTAATACATATATGTATATTACATTTATTATCTGTATTATACACAAATAATACACATTACACACAAATATGAAAAAAAATGGCTTTTATGATTATATAACTAAATCGATCGTCTAAGAAACAACTTAAGTCATATAAATTATTTATAACCTAATGTAAACAGTACAAAATAATAAATACAATTTCAAATATTAATTCTCAATATTTTATTGGTATAAATTAGTCTTTTTAATTTGATTAGGTCATAAATTTGAATAGCAATAGCCCAGCATATTGATTTTTTGGGGGAATTATTTTTAATATTAGTATTAATATTGATATTATTAGTATAAAATAATAAATTCGTACATAAAACTATTTTTAGGGCTTTTAAAATGTTTGAAGTTATATTTTTGAAAATCCTTGAGAAAATTTAAGGCTAAGTCCCCAAAAGTGAAAAAATATTGAAATTTAATCTTAATGTGAGATAATAGCCTCGTAGCTGAAGCTTAACATAATAATAAATAATTATAACAATCAAAGTAATTGAAGTAGCCAGGAAGCCACGAAGGTCTAACACTTTAGTAACTGCATTATTTGTTTTTAAATAAATTAATTAGTACAGAAAATATTATTTTCTGTATTACTGGAATTTTCAAATGCTGCCTGTATTTGATTTTTGGGTAGTCGGTTTAGATTCCATATTGTTGTTAATTATGTATCTACGAATTTCTAATACAAAATGGTATAAATAAATTAATTAACTTTTGATAATTATCGAATAATTTAATAAAGTCAGTTAGGTAACAAAAGTCCAAATACTTTTCCTCCTACCACAATAGATGGTGGTGACATTTAAAATAGAAACACCGTTATGTATTTAGGAATAACTCTTGACAGGAGCTTAACATTGAGATTCTATATTAAAGTTAAACGCACAACTTTTAACAATAGATACAATAGATTACACCATCTCCTTTCACATGAAATACTTCATCTCATTTTATAAAAATTATAATGTACAGCTATTTAATTAAAACTATATGGCCTCAAGCCTCGTAATTTTCGAGTGCTGTGATAAAAATATACATATCAATAAAATTCAAATATTCCCAATCAATATACTAAGGACTATTTTAAAATAATATATTCACCATACATCTTCAATAAAACTATATACTCTGATTTAAAAATTCTAAAAAAAATTGATGAATGATTCATCATGAATTATTTAAATAAAGTTATTTACGTTTTTACAACAAATTAAAAAATTGTAGAATTCCAAAAATAGCTAACTTATACAAAAAACACATTCTTGACAACCCTCGCAGTCTTAAACAAAACTGTAGTATAGATCTCTTGAGTGAAAAAAGACTAAACTAATTTTTTTCATAACTATAAGCTATGTCATTAGATAACTATCTTCTTTCATACCTATTGTAATCAACTAGTCTTTTGGTATATATACTTAGTGTTCTAATTTGTAACAGATTGTATTTTAATAAAATTTAAAAAAAAAGACAGTAGCTAAGCAAAGAGTAGTTGAACAAAAATTTAAAAAATTTACATATTAACTTTCTTTCTATATTTATAACTTTTTAAATAGTAAAACAGAAGTTAAAAGCACAATAAATATTAAAATAAATTATCAATTGATAACTCATAAAATTTAAAATAATATGTTTAATGATTTTGGTTTCATAATTAATGTGGTTATGCATTTTAATATTTTTGTATAAAGTTTTTTATTTTTTGTTATCATAATAAATAATTGTTTTTTATGAAATACCAATTGTATTTTATTGTTTTACATGTATTATACAAATTCCACTATACAATTACTCAATTAGTCAGATTTCAATTTTATTTTTCTATTATGTTTAATTACTCCAATGATACTTTTTAGCAAATTATGAATACAAAAATAAATGTCATTTAAGTCTAAATTTATCAAATTAAGTAATTTTAATATAAATTCATTATTCTAAAAAATAATTTTGTCTTTTTAATGTCATATTGTTCAATTTGTAAAATATATATGAGTGTATTTAAAAAATTAAATAACAACCTGTAAAAAATTATTTAAAAAGATTTTCATACAATTTTTTTGTAATAAAATAATTTTGAAACACAATTTTTAACGAGTTAATTTTTTGAAAGAACTTTATATGATAAACCAAGCATATGATGTGAAATGATCACAAAAGTTAAATAAAATAAATATTTTCTTTCAAAAATATAAATATCAAATTTATTTAATGTTTTATATATTTAATTTATATCAAATTAATAATAAAACTATTGTTGTAGTAAAAAAATAAATATATGATAATAGAATATTTTTATGAAAAACATTTTGTTTAAAATATAATATATACAAAGGTAGCATAATTCATTTTCATACATTTATATTTAAATTAAATGATACATATTTAAAAATTTTAATTTCATCATATATTCATCATCATATATAATCTATTATTTAATTTAAATAATAGATAATAATTTTTATTTAATGTAACCCAAATATATCAAATCATAATTACTAGAACACAAAAAACTTTACATTACAAATTTATAGAATAAATATTTTCCGAAGTGAAAAAAAACTATTAGCAATTATTAAAATTTTTTATAAATAAATAATAATTTATGAAATTATTAACACTTGAAAAGACTACTAAAAGTTTTTGTTATTATTATTAATTAAATATAAATAAATAAAATATTATGTTACTACTTAAGTTTAAAAAATATATATATTATATTTAATATAATAAACAATCGTTTTTAATTTATTCAAACAAATAAAACAAAAAATGGTATTAATCTGAGCTAATCAAATAAAAAGGAAATAGGTTATAAGAATATAGAAACATCAACAAAAATTGAGTGTTAAATATATGTATTTAACTTAAAGTGGTTTACCTTATAGTATAGTTATACAAAACAATCCTATTAAATTTAATCCTTGTCGTTGTAGCATTATTTACACATTAAAAATATGTAATTAAACATTATTTTTATTAGTTTTATAACATTTAAAAATCTAATAAACCACTTCTGTCACAATTCAGCACATGTACACAACTGTAGATATTCACATCGTAATCGAGTAAGGCAGCTTATAGTAACAACCCTTTAACATCCTATACTCAAAATACAAAGCTCTGGTTGGTTGAAGTAAAAAACTATTACCCTGTTTCTTTACTATGAAGCGTACATCTCAGTTCCCCAATCGTATGCGAATCAGATATTTGTGCGCACTCAGTATTATTACCCTCTGCGCAGCTACACAATACCCTGTAAATAAAAAATTGAAAATAACTATTTAAACCATGCAGTAAAATTGAGCAAGGGTTAACATACCCTTTTTTAAAAACAGAAGCCATTTTGATTTTTTGCACCCTTTTTTACTAACTAAGAAATGATGCAGCTGGTTAAAAAGGGTTGCAACCCTTTATGCAGGTGATTAATAGTACAACCCTATTTACAACCCCTAATACCTAAAACTTTTAAACAGATTTAAATTTTCTAACCAACTACTATAGTAAGACATTTTCAATTATTCTTTTTATTAATATTATCAATTTAATAATTGATTATACTATAATTAATAATAATAATAATAAGACAAATCTCAAAGTTTGTTTTTTCAACAATATTATACAAACCATAAATAAACAAATATTAAAATACATCCAATAAATAAAAAAACAAATATATTATATAAAATTTAACCTGAATATATTAAAATCTGTAAAAAAAATTTACTTTATAAACAATTTTTTTTTAAAGGCAAACATATTTTAAATAAAATACCACCTTTACTTCTTAAAGTAAATTTATTTATTTACAATTTTAAATTATTTCTCTTATCTGATATTATTATCAATATTCTACATTACCTGCGATAAAATTGCAAATGTAAAATTGTTATTTTTGATAACAATAAATTATGAAAACACGACATAAATATTGACAAACTTTCAGGCTTATGACACGGACAGTTTTATTGATCATTGAATAAAATTCAATACTCAGCAATTTCTTTAACTTAATTTTTAGGATTTTACTTTTAATAAGGCAACCTTTTAAATTCTATTGAAAACACATTATGTTTAGCTACTTAAAATTCGGGTTTGATTCCGTTGTGCTGAACTATGTAATTAACCGTCCATTTAAACACGAAAGAAGTAGTTTATAAAAGAGAAGAACGTTGGATATAAATTTTAATTAAAAAATATTAATTTATCACTACTATTTCTCTGCTATTTATTGCATTATATTTACACATATTAATATACTATTTTTTTACGCGCATCGCTTTGTATACCAACCTTTAATTTAATATATCAATTATTAGATTAAAAAAAATATTTATTTTAATATATTTTATACAAAAACCAGTATCATACAAATAATTATTTTGTGGAAATTACTTGTAGTTTTATAAAACTAGAAAAAAATTTCTTATTTTCTTCAAAATGTATCTAAACCAAATGCGTCATTTATCATTAGTTTCCTCGCCCTCACAATTATACCTAGCTTGGTCCTATTAATTATATATNATTTATTTAAATATTAAATATTATTTATTTTAATAATTTATATTTATTATTATAAATATATTGTGAATAAATTTAAATAAATTCAATTTCAACTTAGTTTTTATTGTAAAATTTAATTTTGCGGATTATCCGCGGAATTCGTTTATCCGTGGATGTCCTGCCACCCTATTCCACGGATAATCGGGAGTTTACTGTATATTCTGACGAACCATAAAATTATTCAATGGTTAAAAAAGAAATAATATTTTTATGGATTAAAAAATACCACGTAAAATATAACAAGAATTATTCACTTGTGGGTAATTTTAAATATCTCATCAATTAAAATAAATGTTTCTAATGCTTTTATATGGAAGGTTGCAGTAATTATTGACGTTTTTTTAATTAAATTTACATAAAATTAGGTGAGCAACTAATTAATATTTTTCATAAGGTTTCAATCTAATTATTTGATTTCTACATTTTTCAATGTGAAAATTTTTTTATAAAATGTTTAAAACAAAACCACTTTAACATCTTCATGTTATCAAATAAAAATATTGCATTAATATTATTTAATTTATTTGAAAAACAATAAATAGCATTATATGCACATATAAACACACTGTAATACCGTTAATAAATTTTACTTAATAATGCCATAGCCTTTCTTCAATAAACAAAACTTACAAATCAATACCGAACATAGCATATCTGACGACAAATTTTCAGTTAAAAAAAAATTATTTGTCAATGAGTAACAGTGTTATTTATCAAGATTGTAAGCTAAACTCAATTTATAAGACATAACAGACATAAACACGTAACCTTAAGTTATATGTCGGTGTATAAACAATTCAAAAAAAAATTTAAGACCACCTCTATCTTTATGTCGAGCCTCGTGGCTTCTAAACCAAGTGTTCCATATAAAATATAAACTTCATGGTTGATAAATAATTTACAACAAAGGCCTAGTGATAATAATAATAGACTTATTCAACAAAACGTTTTCTTTTGATCTATTTGTGTACTTCCAAGAAGTAGCGGTGATCTAACAAAAATATGGACATGTAGGAACACTGAAGAACCTATACCATAGATACTCGAAAAACAATCAATGATATTCAAATAATAAAATACACTTTAGTTCTCTGAACACATCTATTTACATGCACTAGGTCTTAAGTTATTTGTCCTACGACTACCCGGAATTAATGAACAATTCATTCTTAGTACATAAGAAGTACAGTATTATTCAATATATTTCGACGAATGCGTGTCCATCCTGTTATTCTATTCATAACATATATTAGTACCTGAATAGCATGCTTGGATATGAATTGTGAACATACGGAATCCAGACCATAAAATAATACACTAGGATTTTGATATAAATGTAGTTACTACATTGTCACGAATTCTCTGCTTTTTAAAGTACATAAATGCATCAAACTGAGCCCTCCCAACAGTCACTAAAACAAAAGGTACATCTATAATATCCACCAATCATATAATACAAATAATCATTACCCAAGTTTAAAAGAAAATACATACTTAATTTGATTATAAATTATTCCAAACACATAATATTGATATTTTTAAAATAAGAAATTTCTCATAAAAAAAAAAATGGATCACATAACTCATAAGAGAGTAAATTATAAATAAAAAAAAATAATCAACCTGAACAATTATAGACACAGTTATCTAATATATCACTAGTTATACAAAAATGAAGTTACAGCAATGCATCCTCTTACTCTCAGTGTACTTTCATAAAATTTGAAGGTAAATTATAAAGTTTACAACCCCTTAGTACAAAGTTCATCAAATATTTCCAGGATAACTTTTTTAATTTAATTATAATGAATGAAGTTTTTAAATACCAGATCATTTATATGAAAGAGTTATCATGAAAATGTAAAGATTACAATTGATAAAAATAATAAAAACTGTGTACATTTAAAATGTTCTATAAATTTTTGTTTATTGGATGATAATAAATAATAATAAAAATATATTTGACATTATACAATGCAATTTGTTATTATTACAATTATAAATATTTTACTTGGTTGCCACGGGAACGTAAATTGGTATAAAAAGCTATACATTTAATATTGCTTGTAGACATTTAAAAATAATAAATTAACATAAAATTAAAGACACCACACAGCCAATTCAATATCAAACATACATATTACAAAATATTTTAAAATGTTAGGTACAATTAATCTTCATTTTAAGTCATGGGTTTAAACAAATAACATCTATATTAAGTTTCTAGATAGAACAGTATAATATTGTGCAAATCATAACAAGTATAAAGAAAAGTATCTAATAGAAATATTTATACATAATAAAGAAAAATAAAGTTATTAGTTAAAATAAAAACAATTAGACAAAGATAACATAAATTTAACTATTGATTGTTGACATATAACCTAATGGTCGTTGACAATTTTTGAAATAATGTAATAAAACAATACAACAGTAATTATGCATTTCAGTAAACATTATAATTTTTGTATACTTTTTTTATATAGATATAAGAAATTTTAAGACTGAGAATCAATTAAAACTTATTTAATAATTTAAACAAAATCTACAGTTCCCATGCAACTTTACAAATATCTTAATAGTAAATCAAACACATTAAGAGATTATGAAATAATTAAAATTGATAAAAAAATAAATAAAAAATAAAAAAAAATATAATATAATATATATGCTAGTTTTTGACCCAAAAATCAAGAACGTTATTTTATCAGATTTAATGAAGATTTGATTATAATATAATGAAATAAATGCCATATCATTTTTTAAAGTTATTTTTCATAACTTTTGAATTTTGAAATTTAAGATATTATTTTTCAAAATACATTATGAAACATTATGAATTATGCAACATAATTTTAGCATGTCCACTAATATCCATGAGCAACCAAATGGTCACCAAGCTTTTCAACAACTGATGCAGCTTGTTGTGGTTGAATTGGATCTTCATAAAGTGAAACAACTACAGCTTGTTGAGTTTTTACACAATGAGCACCTACTTTACCCAACTTTGCCCTAATAACTTTATCAGTACCAGATAAATAAATATATCTACTGCCAGCTAACGTTACACCAGAAGCAGCTAAAACACCCTGGTTTTCGAAACCAGCAATCAGTCGACTAAGTTCTTCTTTATTGACATCAAATCCTTCAGATTTTGCCCAAACAGTACCATCATGACCAGAGATAGCAGCCTTAGTAACACATCTGGAAGCTATTAAATGTTTGTCAACATAATCTTGCCACGAAGACATTTTTGTATATCTTTTGAAGTAAAAAATTTAAACAAGTATACTTTGTAGCATCAAATTACTTTATAACTAGCTGTGTTTTACTACACAGAAAAAACTTTCATTCAAAAACACCTGAAAAATAAAAAATAATTATTCTTATTAAAAGTATTTTAAATAAAATAGGTACACTTATTGATAAAATATTGAATCTTTAATATGTTGAAAGTATGTTGTATATAATAAAATATTGTAAAAAAAAATAGCCTCTCAAAACCCTACATTATGCCGACTTATGCTCTAACAGTTTAATTTATTAGTAAAAATAAATACTGTTCTAAGACAATATAAATGTCAGATTTGTATATTATCCAAACATAAAATAATGTAATATTTTATATAAAACAAAAAAGATAATAATTATAATAAAATATCTTTAGAAAAATTAAGATTTCTCACATAAGATAAATAGATATCCAAGGGCTATGTTGTTACATTGTCTAAAATTTATTTGGAAAAATTTACATCATTTATAAATGTTTTAAAAAACACAATAAATTAAGAAATATTTTTCTTCTAAACATTTGCCATTGATTTCAAGAATTTGTACGCAGGAAATAATAATGATAATTTTCTAATTATTAAATGGCGTATTTAATAATGTTTTAAAAATTTAGTTCTTAAAAAAATATACATATAGTGGATCTACTAAAATATTGTACTTTTTAATTTGAATTTTATTTTATAATTTAAAAAAACACAACTTTTTAGCACATTTCTTAAAAAAATGATTAATGCATAAAATGGTTGATTAATTTTTTCTTTACAAATAACCCATTAAAGGTAATTTGAAGTCCGTTTATTTTTATCTCTAGTCATTAATGAACTGCACTCTTTTGCCATAGTATAAATGCTTAAAGATAAAAATAAATGGACCCACGTTCCACCTTCAGCCAATTACAATAAAGTATTAATAACTTTTAAAAACTTTTTAAAAAATTATTATTGACCCGTCACTTTCTTAGTTATGTCATTATTTATTTTAAAGCTATTAAAAAACTTAAGTTTATGATAGTATTTTAAAAGGAAGAGAAGTATTAGGACATTTAATTTTTTACTTTAAAACATAGGATACTACTAAAAAAAAATTTATAAATGTTTTAAACATTGAATTAAATCATAATTTTAATAAATTAAAAAGTAAACAAGTAGTAATTATATTTACTAATTTGTTAAATTATTTTTTCATTCATTTAACAAATATAAAGAGACTATATAAAGATAATTACTTTTTCAGCAATAATTTTATTAAATCTAAAATACTTCTATAAAATATATATCACATAATTTGTATTGCAATTTTAAAATTTATAATAGACTTAACATTCTTTAAAATTTTTTTAGAATTAATTTAAATAATTAGTTTTAAACAATACCAATTTTTACACAATTAACTTTAAAATTAATAATTCATTTTAAAAATTAGAAATTTATATGACCTAATATTAAAATTATTCACATATTATTTATAACTATCAACGAAGTAAACAATTATAACAAAATATATATTTTTGCAAGGCAGCTAATTTTAGTCAGATCATTAATGATATGTCATCAAAAATTATTTATTTAGTCAATACACTGTAACTGATAGAACTAAGTCATAAAAAATAAAAAATTTTAAGTAATCAATTAAATAGTTAATTTAATTAGATAACATAAAGAAATATACTTACTTTAAATATTAAACTACAAAAAATGTTTTATTACAAATTATTGTTTCTTTAGTAATAAATTAAGATTAACTAATAATACTTTAGTTAAGGCCAAGGGAATAATTCTTGAAAACAGATGTTAATAATAAATATGTAAGAGGGGATATGACATCAGAGATGAGGTCATAGTTTAAAAAAACTTTAACATTAAATAAACACTTTAATACTTCATTGGTACCATTTCTCTAAAACTTGAAAATAAAAAAAAATATTTAAAATAAATAAAAAATTAAGTTCTATATTATACAAAATATGATTGTTTTTCCTTAGTAAAGTTTGTCCTAACTATATCTTAACAGATAAAGTTATTATTTGTTAAAATATTTATAACTAACTAAATGGAAAATAAAATTTTAGCTAGATATAAGTAAAATAAAATTGAAAATTAATTCTTATGCAATAACAAAATATGTATTTTAATGATATGTTTTAAAATAAAAGTTTACTATAAATAAATTATATTATAAATTTGTTTTTTAGAACGAGTACATTTAACAAAGAAGTACTAAAAATAAATAAATTACCAAGTATTTTTAACAAAAGGTAATTTCTTTGCCAATTTATAGAATGAGTAGTCATATCATGTAGAATTTACAAGGTTATTTAACTCAGAAACATTCACTAACCCTAAAAGAATATTTGAAGCATAAAATGTTGACATCATCTAAATTAACATTTCTTTTAGAACAATCATTTCAATTATGTTAAATGAAAAATGATAAAAAAAAATCGCAATTTTGATTTTATAACTATATATTCTGTTAAACATCACTAATCATCAATAAATTAAATCAATTGGAAAATAAATTATGCCTTATAAATAAATATTACAAATTTAACTTAATTAAATCATTTTTTATAAGAAACACTATAAAGGGGCCAATTACAATACATTTTTAGAACACAAGAGAAAATCTTATTTAATGTGCCAGAAAACTATTAACTTTTTTAAATGAAACATATCAATTACAAAAATATATAGTATCTATAAGTAATTTGATTTAATATCAAACAGGCGTAGGATAGAACTACTAAGAAACCGGGATTTCCCAGTGGCTGTAATACAATTTTTTTTATAAATGGGTCCCTCAAACCACTTATCCACCCCTGAATTCATACAATGTAAATATTGCAAATATAAATTTATTTTAATACAAGTTGAAAAGAATATTAGGAGAAACAAGACAAATTTAATTTCATATGCATAATTATACCTATTTAACTGGAAATAATCAGAATATTAGAATACAAATCAGTCAATTAGGTAGTTCAGACTTAATGATTACAAATTTAAAATATAGGATATTGAAATTTCTTAGGAATAAATAAGTACATAATACATAATACATAAAGTTCTTATAAAATTTTGGTTGTAAAAAAGAATATAATACTTAATAATTATACAAAAATTGATCTAATTTCAATATAAGAAAAAATATTAATCTAAAATTATAAAAAAAAACAATTTTGATAATAAAGTAAATGAATTAATGTTAATACATACATAAGTAATTTACTAATATCTTAAATAAAATATTAATTAAACTGTATCAAATAAAAAACTTTAAAACCATTACTTCGAATTAAGGAGCAAATTTTTTCCAATTTAATTATAAATTAACTATGTAAATAATTAATGGAGGAAAAAACAAATAAGGACATTACCTAATTTGGTAATAAAGGTCTAATAGAGTACCTATTGACCTAAATATAGACATGATCATGCAAAATAAACACAAGCAAACAAAATGTATAAATGCTAAACGGAAAGAGGGGGTAGAATACTAAGACATTTTATAAAGGTGATATTTTTATTTGTAATTACAATTCAAAAACGTGAAAAAAAAATGATCTATTTACCAGCTGAGCGTTTAAGAATGATGTTGATACACAAATGACTAGCGTTTACCAAGACGTGATAATGTAACGTTCTGGGGTGGTGTGACTGGTGCCAGTACTGTACTTTATCGGTAATGAATGAAAAAATAATTAAAAATATTACAACAAAACTTAGCACATGAATACACGTCGAGGTAATTAGTTGTTCGTTGTTGTAGAGAAGAAAGGCGGCAAAAAAGCGTTCCACCGAGATTTCGATAGCCAATTTGAAGAAAACTAATGGGAATTGAAGTTATGAAGGAAAAATACTAATGAAACGCGACGGGAATATCAAGTAACAATTGCCCAATAATGGCAAGTGGCAATAAAAATGAACTGTGCGCGTGCGCGTTTTGTGGCCTAGACTGGGTAGATGTTAGTAACGACAAGTTTAGTGTACAAAATCGTGGAGCTCAAATCGTGAGCGCTAGAACAGCTGAAAATATCACTATCGAACTATAGTATTTTAGCCGAAAATACGTTAATCGAAAATATATTAGCAGAAAATAATACTGATATCATTAACATCAAACATTAGTGATTATATGTTAATTATATTTAAAATATATATTAGTTTCCTATGATAATATACTAACCGAGAGACTTGTGCTAATTGAATAAGATACTGCCGGAAGAATATTTTCTGCTGTTCTGTATCCCTTCGCTCAAATTAACAATGGCATGATTTTCGCCAATACAATATGATCAAAATTTAAGAATCCCTGTTTTTATGTCGTCTTATTTTAGCTTCGGTGTGAAGCTGAGAAGGTATTCATTTTTACCATGTATGTTTTTTTTTGTCTACCTCAAATTTTTTTCAACATCTTTTAAATCAATTTTACTCTCATAAAATTATCCCAAATTGTATCTAGCTAAACCTATCATCGCTATAATTTGTAAAAAAAATGTCATCTTTTAAATTCCAAATAGGGTAACTAACTATACCTTGTCATTATTGTGCTGGGGGGTTATTTTATTGGCAATATCAACATTTCAAACTTAATAAAATATGCAAAATAATGCGTCTACTATAACCATAAAAGTCACTAAACAATTTTGTGTAGATATCGTTTAACAATCATAAAGACGAATGAATGCTTTATTAAAAATTATTTGATTCTCAAGTTACCATTAACAATTAAATGTAGTACTTAATTTAATAAAAAGTTGTAAACATTTTTAGATTACAGTAAAGGTTGACCTTAACAGTAATTCTCATGGTAAAATGACATTTTTTTAACAGGTTTCTAAAATTTTCATTCAAAATTTTTGTGTTACTGAAAACGGAGTTTCAAAAAACATCAATTATGTCGAAGTTTAAAATAAATTGTAGATTTCTCTAACATAAAAAGTATCTTAAGTGCTATTTCCTCAAACAATTTAATCATTATTATTATGCAATTTCTTCAGGAGGAAGATATAGATTTCCTTTACGGGAAAATATTTGTATAGCGAGTGTACAATGTATTTGTTTTTATAATACATAAATAATAATAATAAAAATTTTTATAAATTGACTCACTTCAGGACAAAATCCTAAGTTTAGGCGTATGTAAACTTTTTTCTTAGGAAGTTTAAGGAGGTCATGGATTACCTCATGGTTATTCCTGGGAATGACTTCGATCTTTTTCTTTAACAAACTAAAAATTATATTATATTTAATATAATATAATTTATGAAAAAATTTTATTACTGTTTTTATTATACGACAATATATTTTATTGTCATATAAAAATTTTTTTAAGGAGAGAGTATTACATTTAGCTCCCTCCCTAATTGTTTTATTTTATATACAAGTTAAATCAGAGATGTATTTACAAAGGTCCGCAGGTAGTACTCGAGCTCTACAGGCATGACCTGTTGACATGCCTATGATCCTGAGTAAAATTCTAGAAAATTATAGTTTGAAAAGCTTTAATTTATTATTTCATAAATATCAATGTTGCAAAAGTGGCGTATGTATACTCCAATACGAAAACACCATAAAAAGCCAATTTTCAATTAGGTTGTAACAGGGCAAACAATAGCAACCTCAGGGCGTTGTGAGAAATGATTTTGCAAGTTCTTCATATTTGTTTTTCAGTGAAAATAAATTTTCCTTTCTTTAATCATCAATTAAATTTGTACTAATTTTCTGTTGTAGGGGCCACTGAGCCACTTACAATACTTTATCCAAAGACAAGAAAAGGTTTGTTATTAATTTAATTTTTTTAAACATTTATTTTTTATAGTACTCAAATTTTAATTGACTTTGAAAAAATATATGAGATTCTTTTTAAATAAATATAGAGAGGCCATTTATGTAAATTACAGATGGTAATTAATTAATGCAATACAAATTTCATAATTAATTAATTATTTAACTATAATATAAAATAAGTTTAAATTATACAAATTATACATTTATTTTTAAAAATGATGATATTTGTGTTTTGCTATTATTATTACAAAACAATATGTGACATATACATTTTTAATAGAATAATAGAACTATTAATTACTTAACATTATATTACATTTTTATGTACAATAAACCAATTCTATTTTTAAATAATAAAAAGTGTCATTATATTTTATGAATTATGTTATAGGTATAAGTTCTGAGCGTTCACAGCAAAGTGGCTGAACAGATTCTACAACCATTGATCCACACAAAACATCATATGCACATCTATTTTGATTAGCTGCAGCGGTAACAAATGGCAAAGGAAATAAAAATGCAAAAAACAAATTTTTAGTTAAAGAACGCAACACAGATCTCTTCCAACCTAAATCACCACCAGGTGTAAGAGCAATATTATCTTGTGGTTGACCTCTTATATGACATATTTTTTCAGCACGTACAACTGATAGATCTAATAACATTTTTCCTATTGTAGCACCTCCATGGTAAGTACTTCCTCCTTGTAACCAATACACCTGAAAAGTTAAAGTGCAAATTAGTATGAAAAATGAAAGTCATAAAACCAAATAATAAAAAATATTATTAAATCAAAAATATTATATCATTTTAAAAAATGTACACCAATATCCTTTTCAATTTTTAGTATAAAGTATGGATCTAAAATGATAAGCATAATTATTATATTATAAAATAAAACTTTTTTTTGAAAAAAAAATTACCAAACAATTTATATTCTTAGGACTATTCTTTTGAATAATTAAAAGAATTCTTATAAAAGTAATAATTCACCAAATTTGTTTTATAGATGTAATACATTACAACATTACCTCATAAAAACATACAACTAATCGATGAGTTACTTCTAGGAAAAACAACTCGGATGTCATTTCAACTGCTGTATTATAATCAACATTAAAATCATCTTGCATTATTATACTATTATACTTGGTAAAATCTCTAAAAAAAAATGTTGATAAGTATTTTTGGTAAAATAGTTTATTGTAAAATAATTGTATTGTAACTTACATTTCCAAAGAATCAACTGCAAAATAGGCGACAATAAATTTTAAAAGACTTAATAAAATGAAATCTATGAACTCTGCAGTAAAACGCTTCCACAATGGTGGGATTTTACATTTATAACCTAATTAAATTCATTAATTAAATCTCATAAACTTTTAATTTAAACATTTTAAATTACCTTGAAATTTATTAGGATCGATAGTGGCTTCCTGTTCAGTACAAGTTGGTGTAGGTATGCTATCACGTTTTAAAGAGTTAGAATTATTTTGTTTTTGAAATGTTTTTAATGATTCTTGCTGTAAATGATTGTAACATATTTGATAATTGTGTACAGTTGTTAACCATGACCGTAACTGATCAAAGTAATCTTCTCTTATTTGTTTATTAGTCATTTTTAAATTACTAGATTTTCTCGATTCAGAAGAACTACTTTCCATAGCTTGAAAATTATCCAGGATTTAGATAACTTTTTTAAAAAATTAATAAACACGTCACTCAATTACTCTATAGTTTAAAATAAAAATAATTTTTTTTAAATTGTTATCATACATATCATGTTTATCTGTATATTAAAACCAAAGATCTTTGATTACAACGCTATGTCTAAGTGTTCTATTTTGATAAAATAATTTTACAATAAAGTGATAACTAAGTTTGTTATCCTTTTATTAAAAATTTTGTTTGAAAGACTTTCTTTAATCGTACAAAAAGATAGCGTCTATTGTAAGGTTAGTTAACCTTGTTATATTTTTATTTCATTTTAAAAATAATATTAATTTATTTAAATAATACTTCAAAAAATTTTAACAAAATCGCATCTGTCTGCTTAATTATTCACATATATTGATATAAAATGAATATGACAGTAAATAAGTCGTATATAACATTTTTTTGAACAAAATAATTATTTTCTTTACAAACATTTTTAACAGATTTTGAGAAAATTAGTGTTCAATGAGTTACCTAAAATGATCACTCCGTATATACTCCAACATAAATTAAAACACATAGGCCACATCAATTGGATTATTGGTAACCGCTTTTTGTTAATTTATACCTGGAGTGATAGTGCTACATACCCTCCTGAAAAATATTAAATATTTAATATTAACTGACAAGCTTGTTAATATTTAGATAATAGCCGCCATTATAAATGTACGATTGAGATCCGCTTTCGCAAATTAAAATAAGAATCAGTTATTATTAAAAGCTTATGAGTTATAGTATGAAAATTTGGGAAAAGATAATAGATAAGAGAATAAGAAATGAGACATCGGTATCTAAAAACCAGTTTGGATTTATGCCTGGTAAGTCAACAATGGAGCCATTATTTTTATGTTGTTTGTTGACATATAGTGTTAATAAGAGAAAATAGGGAGGAAATTAATCAAAGGCTAGAGGTGTGGAGGTGTTGAAAAAAACGGTTTAAGAATAAATAGGAGTATGAGTTTGACAAAGGAGAATACGGGTTGTGAAATTAGGAGATCAGTGATAATAGGCGAGGATGTGATTGGAGAAGTGGAAAGTTTTAAGTATTTAGGGTCAGTTGTGCAAAAGAGTGGTGGTATTGACGATGATGTAAGACACAGGATTAAGTGCGGGTGGTTGAAGTGGAGAGAAGCGTTTGGCGTCTTTTGCCATACAAGAATTTCAATGAGGCTGAAAGGTAAATTCCACAAGACTGTAGTGAGGCCAGCTATGATGTATGGTTCAGAGTGTTGGGCGATTGATAAGAAAGTAGAGCAGAGATGAGAATGCTTAGATCGATGAGTGGAGTGACTAGAGAAGATAGGATAAGAAATGAACATATAAGAGAAAGCATAAATGTAGCATCAATCGTGGATAAGATGGGAGAAAATAGTGTAATAATACAAAAATTAAGATATAAATAGGAGTATATACAGGGTGGCCCACCACTCACTGACAACTTAAATAACTTTTGATCCAGTTAATATTTTTAGTTGATTTTTTTTTTAAATAATAGTTATACGTTAGGTCTATAGCTATATCTCAATAATTAATTTTTTTACATTTTATTAAAAATATTAATTATTTTTAAATTTTAAATAAAATGTAAAAAAAAAATCTAAGATAGCTATTTTGTAGAGTAGAATTTAAGAAAAATTTTAGTAAAAAAATATCTTATTAATATTCAGTAGTAAATATTCTGTAGCGTTTTGAAGTTTGTGAAAATTTGAATTTTCATGTACTATTTTACGGTATTAAACATTGAAATACGTATTGAGAAAAGGACAGAAGAAAACGCTATCTTTTCATGATTACTGTGTATACATATGATGATAATGTGTATACATTACAAACTTGGCATTAATACCATGATAAGAAATTAGATAAGGCAATTATTACTTATCACTCTCATTCAAAAGTATATTGAAAAGATAGCGTTTTCTTCTGTCCTTTTCTCAATACGTATTTCAATGTTTAATACCGTAAAATAATACTTGAAAATTCAAATTTTCACAAACTTCAAAACGCTACAGAATATTTACTGTTGAATTTTAATAAGATATTTTTTTACTAAAATTTTTCTTAAATTCTACTCTACAAAATAGCTATCTTAGATTTTTTTTTTACATTTTATTTAAAATTTAAAAATAATTAATATTTTTAATAAAATGTAAAAAAATTAATTATTGAGATATAGCTATAGACCTAACGTATAACTATTATTTAAAAAAAAAATCAACTAAAAATATTAACTGGATCAAAAGTTATTTAAGTTGTCAGTGAGTGGTGTGCCACCCTGTATATATTATGTATTTTGACCAAGTTTATGTATGTTTGGGGATTTGGTCAATTGGTGAGTAACGAGGTTGTGTCGGGGTAGTAGAGTCCGAGAGTTTAGAACAATAAAGACAAGTAGATATAAAAAGTAATAATTAAGGTTCCTCTTATAGAGATATTATAAATGACCCAACTAGTAAATACCTGTAATAATACACTGAGGCAACGAAGAGGCGGTGGCCATCTCACGAATACCCAGTCGAAGTGTTATATATAAAGTAGAAATCACATTAGGTCTTAAACTCTTTTAGGCAAAAGAGTAACTACATTGGAATAGAAACGTAATCGACGTAATCTAAGTATATAAGATGTAACGGTTATTAAAGTTATATATACATTTACCTACAGTTATATATTTTTTCTCTTTGATTATATTTAAAAAATAATATTAATCATAAAATCTAATAGTTTAATATTCTGATAAAATTAATTTCTTATAAATTTAAATGGTACAAAAAAAATCAATTTTTTATTTTGATCTTATGGTTTGATTTGATTCCCATTAACAGTAGTATCAAGTAATGAAAACCATTCGATGAAAAACTTTTCATTTTCTAATTTTTGTTTCATTGTTAAAAGGATAGGAATTTGTAACTTTATTTTTACAAATATGGATAATGACCGTTTTTCCTCTATACCCTTCATTTATTTAATAATATTTAAATAAATAAAGTTTTGTATCGGAATTAAAATAACGTGCAAAGTATTGATCCAAAAGTTGTTTTTGATCAATCATTTCCTTAATTAGATTATTATCTATTAAATAAGTTAGTTCATTAGGGATGTTCTCATTTGAGAAATTTAAGTTGACAACCTTATAGGGGATAAACATAAAAAATATTATGATTGAAAAATTGAAAGAAATGTTGAACTAAAAGAAATTATATAAAAAAAAAATACTTNAATTGAAAGAAATTTTGAACTAAAAGAAATTATATAAAAAAAAAATACTTAATATTATTTTTATTTTTTATTAATTTAGTATTTCATAATAAGTGAATCATTCTGTATATTGATTCAAATGCTAATTACATTTAATAACACTTGAGAAATTCATAAATCTATTAGTCATTTAATTAGATTTTTATAAGAAGTAATACGTCAATTAACGTCTTTGATTTAAGCTTATCTAAGGTATTATGTAAATTGATTTATAATTAAGCATATCAAACTTAAGAATTAGTTATTATTTATATGTATTAAACGGGGTACTATTTTAAAACAAATTAAATATTTGAAACAAACTTAATAAGAAAAAAACATTTATGTACACTTAATAGTTCATCATAATATCTTGATATAGTTATATCAGTATAAATAAAAGATCTCTGGTGGAGTATGGGGATACAGCTCTCATGATGATTTTTATTATTAAAGTTTTTCAACCCCTAATAACAAAATAATTTGATCGTTACTACCGTCTGTTTAAAATAATTTGTAAAATATTTTTAAAGGCTAACAATTTTGTTAAGTGTTGTGTACGACATTTTATGTTAGAGCCATATTGAAGATTTTAAGTATTAAAATCAAGAATTTTAATGAAATTTCAACTGAAAAATAATTAAAAAATTAAAAATTCATTAATATTTTCATAAAATGTAATTTACGTGTACAACAATCACTGTTTAACATTGTAATACATTTATTTAATAATTATTTAAACATTTTAAATACCGCGTATAGTTCAACCAATAGGATCGCTCAAAATTTACGCTATCTATCAGCAAAAAATTGCGTCCAGCATATCGTTTCGCTGTGTTCATTCTTGAGAAAAATTTAATTGCCGATAATGTATACGGCGTGACTCATTTATGCGTATTTAATATGACTCCATAAACTCTATAAAAATAAAATAATCCTAGATATAGTATTTTTTGGATTTTAATAAAAAAAGTCGAAATTCAGCAAAAATCCCTAGAAAAATAACAATACAATCAGAAAAAAAGTTTTATTTTAAAAATATGCCGTCTTTTTGAAACGGCATTTATATTGGGTCGTAAATTGACAAATGTTGCCGGTTTATAATATGCTAAAGCAAACAGTATAAAGTATTTCTATAAATCGGTAGTGATTATCCATATGTGAAATGATAATTGTTGCCATCTTTTAAAATAGGTACGCTTTTTTCAGATCGTCTCTAAAATTTCAACAGCTGTAAAACTTTGAAAATCGAATATTTATAAAATAATTTTTTAAGCAAAATTTTTTTTTCAATTGATATATAAAAAATTAGAGTTTTCATTTAAAAATCGATAGTTGATATGAATTTAGAGTATATGGAATGTAACAGAAAATTAAAATTTCGTATAAAGTAGCTCGACAAAAATTCATTATTGTTAAAAAATAAAAAAATGTTTATATATATATAAATTAAAATATGTTTATTTAAAAATATACAACAGAATTATAATAACGTAGATTTTTATCGTAAAAATGTTTACTATCAAAATAAGTGAATAACATATTTAATTTGTAATATTTACCATTATAAATCATATATTTCTATGTATTGTACAATGTGGACATTGCATTAAATTAAATGCACACTTGAAGAATAAGAAAGATGTAGAAATTCTTTCAGTTTAATTACTAATAGAAGTTACTAGGAAGTGTTTTTTACTCGGAGAAAGTATTTTGCGCTATCTGCCGTCAACAGACTGAATAAAATTATGACCTACCTTAACGATTGGTTCATCAATACAATATAATAGTAGCCGACTTAAAGCTCGGGAACAAAAGTACACGTTGTTTTCTTTTAGTTAGTAGAGCCACGACTCTTCAAACGAAACATTTAGGAGATGCCCGTTGCTTATCCAAAAAGTTTTCTTTTCCTTTAAATTTTTGGCTTAACTTTTTTTAAACAAGTGTTTGTTTTAAATTTGCTTTGTGGAATTATTTACAACATTTTCTCCGATGAATAACTTTACAATGGCCTTGTTAAAAACTACTATTGAGGTAAACTACTAGAGCAGATTTTATAAATTATAATTTATACAATAAGATTTTTTCAAGGTTTTATTCTTAACTTTTATGTTTTATTATTTTTTTTAAGATCTTGTGGCTATTACTTCATATAGAAACAACATAGAGTAGAAGTTTATTTTAGTACTGTAGGCTTATTGCCAAACGTTGTGTGTTACAAGCAACATTTCTTTTGTAACTAGCGTGGCTACACTATGACATAAATTCAATAGTAATTAAATATACCTGATAATATTTATTAAAGGTCACGATCGATATCCTGTTCTTTATATCTCATAACAATGTGTAGAGTAGTATTTGTACTTTTTTAAATTGTAAAATAATAACACTTCGTAGGAAACTTAATAAAAATTTAACTTGACTAAACTGTTCTCGATAAATGACTAATAAATTAGTCAAATTAAATATCTAGTCCGGTGTCTTATTTAAGGAGGTGCTATGGGAGACAATGACAGTATGGTAATCATCACATTAACGAGGTAATTCTTAAATTAAGGAAAGTAACATTTTGTTAAAAGAATGAAACAATTTTTTTTTTTTTTTGAAGAGTTGCCATTATGTTAAAATTCTTAACTTACGACTTATTTCATAATTGTAATTTGTAATACTTAATGAGTAATATTTTGATAAAAAATTCTAAAAAAGGTCCAATGATGTGTCAAAATATGTTCTCAGCATGTGTTAAATTTTTGTAACTGGATAACCAGTTAAAGCCTTTCATATTATATTATATTATTCAGCTATTAGCTAGACAGTAATTGATAAATCATTTTTTATGTTATATTAAAAATGGTATACCATTTAAAGTATACTTTAACTAGGGCAATGAATAAAAAATTCTTCAGAATAAACTCATATTAGGTAATTATTTGGTCTTGGTTGACAATTTTATACTTCACAAGCCTCCCTATTTTAAAACTTAACACAAAGAAAGTGATTTACATTGGAACATGTTTTTCTCGTGTAATTTTTTACTTTCACAGTTTTATTATTGTGACTGATAGATAAAATATTTCTGGTTAATTGTATTTCAGAAACTGGCAACGTCGTGGCAATCATGCAGAAGTCTTACAAGTGAAGCTACATTCAATACTAAAGTTAGTGAAATGCTTGTTAATGTTATGCATTTAAAGTATCTCTCACAACATATTAAAAAAAGTTTACAAAAAAATAATTGTTTATTAATTTACCACAGTATAAACTACACAAATTGGAATCGGGACCTAGTTGTTCAGTAACCGTTAATCGAGACGATGCCATAACTTATTATAAGCAAATGCAATATATCAGGCGTATTGAAACAGCATCTGGTAATTTATACAAGGAAAAAATCATCCGAGGTTTTTGTCACTTGTATTCGGGACAAGTGAGCTATAGTTTTTAATGTCTCGTAAAACTTGTTCATCGTGCTATGTGAACTAATTGAACTTGCCATTTATAGGAAGCCTGCGCAGTTGGTATGAAAGCAGCATTTAGAGAACAAGATTCATTGATATCAGCATATCGTGTACATGGTTGGACATATTTAATGGGCGCAACGCCTCTTGAAGTATTAGCCGAACTGACGGGTCGTAAAAGTGGAGTTGTTCGAGGTAAAGGTGGATCAATGCATATGTATGGTAGAAACTTTTATGGAGGCAATGGCATTGTCGGAGCTCAAGTGAGTTCAATATGAAAATATATTTAATCCATTTTTATCGAGTACACAGATTGTATGGAGTCTATGTAATCCGTGTGGTCTGTAGACTGTATATGTTCTAAGCATAATTATAATATTTAAACAATTATTACACAAACAAATATTAAAGTAACTATTTCTATAATCTTGTAAAATGTATATTTTTAATTACAGCACATTGTACATATGCCTAAAGCATAAAAAAATCTATGAATCTGACTCTGGCTGCCGAAATTCTCCTAATTGGCCCTCCATTAACTGAATTATGCTAATAATTTATCAAGCAATGTAATAATGAATGATAAGATTAATATCAATTGAAAAAAATTGAAAATTAAAATCACTTTTTGTGATAATAGATAATAACAAATTGTTATTAATCAAATATTATATTATATTTAGCAAAATTCAACGCATGTAGGCTCTCCCAGAAACGTATTCATTCATTTTTAGATAATACGTTGAATTTAATATTTTCAAGTGTTTAATGAGAAGAACATATTTTTTTGGAAAAAGCATCGCCCTTCCTTTTAATTACTTATTGTAATAACATTAAAAGCTGCAAAATTTCCTCCTGAAATAATCTATAACTAACATTTAAATGTTTTTTTTATTATTTCATTCGTAAAAGGGGGAGATTAATGTGAATAAAACATAAGCACAAACAATTGGAGTTGATAGTTAATTAGCTAAAGCTATTAACTTTCAAATATAAACTGTAAGTTACTCAGTGGTGGCTCGTGGATGTTGGTGGTAGGGGTGCGTTTTTAAATATAATACCACTAGTTGTAGGCATAAAAAATTGTCAAATTAAATATAATATAATAAAACAACAACACATTATTATTATTTTAAAGGTTGCAGTAGAAAATAGAAATGAAAATAATAATATTAGCGATTATACTATTATAACAACCGATAACGATAAGCAGTTAATTCTAAAAATAAATTACCCAAAATAGTAGTATCCTAATATTTTACCGATGAACGACGCTGCCGGTCGTCCAAACACTGCTCGTGTGTATACATGTAGTACTCACATATACTGAGGGAAACAACTCTAATGTTGCCACGCCACAAATGTATTATAACTATTTTATTATTTAAAAATTTTCATTTTTAATAAAAATGTAGAATTCAGAATGTACAATTGATTTTCTTATTTTAATTAATTTTAGTAGGGGTGCGATGGTCCCGTCGTCCAAGCCACGAGCCGCCACTGCATTTAAAATATTTTTATTGATTCATAAATCCATTTTTAGCTTTGATGCGAAGCCGAAAACGAATTAATTTTACTATGTGTTTATTTATTTTTGTTTCAGTTCTCACTGGACCGATTTTTATTAACAATAGGTCAAAAGATCGCAAACTATATTTACAATTGATTTTAGTAGGGGGTGCGATCATCCAAGCTACGAGCTGCCACTGCAATTATTGCTATTTTTATAACTAAACATTTCCCGTCCGTACTCTTCTCTGTGTGTAAATATGTCAATAATACTGGTCCGAAAGTTGTTATTGACCAGTTATTTTCTAGAATAGAATTTTATTTTTATAAGCTAGTTAAATATATATATTGCCATTAAAAATAATAAAATTGACATCCCTATAAAGGATGATTCTAAAAAGCAATGGTGGGCATTAGCTAGTTAATTATTTTTCTAATAAACTCTTTAACTTGACTAATTTAATTTTCCGTTGAAATAATTTAGATTTTTTCAGTTTATTAGTGAAAATAACAGTTAAACTAATTTTATGTATCATAAAAAAATGTATGTCTTTATACGCTACGTGCGTGTTTAATTAAAAAAAAAATCGAATTTTCCCGTATCCTAAATATTATATATATATATATAACAATAAATATAATTTTCTGTAATTTTTCAATAATGTAAGTGATTTTTAACTGATTTTTTTTTTTAATTAATAGTTTTAAAGATACAACAATGCAACCAATACCAAAATGTACAAAAATGTTTGTCATCATTCGTATTTTCTTGCTGATCAGTTTTAAAAGTTGAAAATCGATTCTTAGTTTTTCCTTGCGTCACCGATCAATAAAAAATTATATTGAGAAATTTTAGCCGAAAAATAAATTTCAAATGAAATCAATTTTTTTTAAACTAGTCAAGTTAAAAAAAATTTCAACTTAGCTACTTAAATTTATAATTTTATAACTTTTAACTGTTAATTTATCGTCATTTTTCATACTTAATTTAACTTAACTCGAGTTAATTATTTCCATTAAATTGCCCATATTTTCTAGAAGGTAATTATTACCTGATAAATGAAAAAATATATGTAATAAAAAGAAAACGATTTTTTTCGATATTTTATTTATTTTGTGAATAATCGAGTGATTTATGATAAACCGAATACTATATATTTGTCTTTAACACTTCGCCACACCCAGTCATATTCATGTTTTTTTTAAATATAAAAAAAATTATCTTTATTTTGTAGCTATTGACTTTTATTAAAATTAAAATATTACTATAAAGTAATAAATTTTTGTAGGTACCTTTAGGTGCAGGTGTGGCATTTGCAGCAAAGTATTTAGGGACCGGGGGAGTGTGTTTTGCTCTTTATGGCGACGGAGCTTCTAATCAAGGTCAAGTATTTGAAGCATATAATATGGCCAAGTTATGGAACTTACCTTGCGTGTTTGTGTGCGAAAATAATGGATACGCTATGGGAACAAGTTCGGAACGTTCAGCATCAAACACGTCTTATTACACCAGAGGCGATTACATACCGGGTATCTGGGTAAAGATCAATATCAAACTTAAGCAATTTTGCGTTTTCTTAAAAATATTAACAAAATGTTGTATTTTTACATATTTTTAGGTTGATGGCATGGATGTTTTAGCAGTTAGAGAAGCATCCAAGTTTGCCATTGACCACTGTACTCAAGGAAATGGCCCCATCATTTTAGAAACAGTCACTTATCGATACTCGGGACACTCGATGTCAGATCCGGGAACATCTTATAGAACAAGAGACGAAATTCAAGCTGTTAGGATGACTAGAGATCCGATCATGTCGTTTAAAGAAAAAATTCTATCGACTAACTTAGTTTCAGCTGAGGATCTTAAAGTAAGAAAAGTACCATTATGTCTTGACTATTGTAATTATTGAAATTTGATTATTTTATCTTAATCAGCAATTCGATAACAAAATAAAAACAGAAATAGATTCTGTAGTATTAAAAGCAAAGGAAGACCCAGAAATATCTCTTGACGAATTAGGAGCTGATGTATATGCGAATCCATTGGAAATAGAACAACGAGGAGTATTACCATGGAAAACTGTTAAGCACATGAGTGTCGGAGCTGCAAAGAATCTTTAAATTCAACGAAAACAACTGGGGTTTATTAAAAACGTGTTTTACATCCAGTAAGATATTTGATCCTCGCAGTTTGGTCCACGCAAGTCCTTCTTTGAGGGGCCTAGCTAAAATTTAGTTCAAATTGTTTAGTTTATATTTTTGACCTTATGGTTTAGTGATATAAAATTTTGATTTGTTCCATATTTATTTTATGTGGTTTTTTAAGTGATATCCGTATAAATGATTTTAGCCTATACTTAGGATAGTTGATTTTAAATATCAAGTCAATTTAAAGAGTATTTGGTTTTTAGGAATAAAAGTCTTTATTTTTAAATAAAAAATAAAGATTTTGGTTGAATTTTATTAGTGATATTTTATGATCCTTGTTCATGACAATATTTAATGGATCTTTTCAATTTTAATGATTATCGTATTAAGAACGAAATGATAATATAAATTTTTATAAGAAACTCTAGTTTTATATATTGAAAACCTAATTCATAGAAGTAGCTCAAAAATAATAAATATGATAAGATCTAATTAATTTAAGGTGTCATAAACTTATATTATTAAAATTATTTTATTTGTTATTACTAGGTAATGACGTAATAAGAGGGGCGGTATAGTTAATTATATGGAAGTGCCTGATGCGCACAATAATGGGTTTGAGGCTTAGTCATTAGTTGCTCTTTTTAATAGAAGAGAAATCAATTCATGATTCAGGCTATTCTTCTATCCGGTGACGGTTTAATCTTCTATCTCGAAGTAAATATATATATATACTATGTATAGTGAAAAAAAACCTCCTCAGTCGAGGAGATTGCTATAGGCCTTAATGAACCATTAAAGCGTTAAAAAAATATTAAGTGGTAGTATAAAAAATTTTATTTTTAAATTTGTTTTTTCAATACTATTCGATTAGTAGCATTCATTTTTTTCTATAGAAGTAGTGACAGGACTGTGTTTTGAGGGAGGGAGTGGCAAATGCCCTAGGACAACATAAAAATTTGAATAAATTTTTATATAAGATGTACTCTTTTTAGCAATATGTTGTTTTTATCAGTCGATGTTATTGCTTTTGTATATACAAACAATTTAATTTTTATAAGTTTCAAACATTTTTTTTTATCTGTTCCTAAACTTTAAATAAATCACGACTTCAATGTAATTTTTACTACTTTTATACGATAATCGATCAGATATTACTTATAACGATTCCGGTCAGTGTCAGTGGCCTTAAAGGGTACGAGCGACGGACATTTTGAAAGTACCGGACTAAAAATATATTAGGGAACCAATATTTTGCTTACATTTCTTATATTAATATATCAGCTTTATTCTGTATAATTATATGATATTGATGTAATCGTCGACCACCAGTCGTGTTAATTAAGCATAGAGTATTCAGAATTTGTTTTTTAGTTGTTATTTTTTTCTTTAAATCTTTATTTTACAAATACACCAGATCGGATATTATGAAAACCAAATTAATATTTATTTATTGTTACCTCCAGGCAACAATTAACTATTTCAATGGATTATAATTTATTGTAAAGCTAAAAAAAATTCTTAAAATTATTAATATTTTAGCAGAAATTTAATTACAAATACAAAATCAATTATAGTGCAAATGTAAAATATTGTTGATGTCTAAATTCACTTTTCTACGTGAAAGCAATGTGTATTTCTTTTTAATATATCAATATGATATTTTTTTGAATGTATAAGAATTAAGAATTAAATTTTTTTTTATTGTTTGTATATTTTTCTTAATAATTTATACCATCATAATGTGAAGTAAATTATTTGCAAAAAGTATTGCATTTACGGATTTTTTTAAAGTTTTCCTTAATTTTGTATTAAAAAAAACGATACTATCAAGATCGTGGAAACTTAGATAAAATTAATACAGATTGAATGAAATCTAACTGTGATTAAAATCACTGGAATTCTTCAAAGTAAATGTGTTCAAGGAAGTTTGATGAAATTTGTTTTGGAAGAGAAGATAATTTTTAACTGTAAAAGAGTCTTCTTAAATTAATCTGTAAATAAATATTAATTCGTGAAAAAAATTTCGTAGGAATAACAACAAGCGCAACTATATTGAACATTTTGAAAAGGCTAAATATATTTTCCCTATTCTAAAAAATATTTTAATGTAACAATAAACATATTTTTTTTATTTATTTTTGACTAATTTGTCTGTAGGGAATTAAACCCTTTCATGACCCCCAGTAGTAATCAATGGTCTTCATTTGAATTAATTAAATACTTATGACGTAAACGACAATAATAATCAAATAAAAGTTAAACACATACGGGTATAAATAAATATCCAGCGTTTTTTAAGCTAAAAAATAATGAAATAATACGATTTTTGTCATTTTTAAGAACGGGTCTAATGAGTGTTTGTTGCCCTTCACTTAAATTTTTACTTATGACTGTAAGTTTAGATGTATAATAACGCGCACGTATAATCGTTTTTAATTTCATTGAACTCAAAACTTGCATATGAGTCATGATCATTGACCACAGTCTAAATTGCCAATTAGACATGTTTGTATTGTGAAATATTCAAGTATGTTTATTCAAAAGGATCACGGAAGAAGGGTAAATCATACATAAATGACAATAAATAATTTATTATCCTATCAAAAACTTGAGAGTACTTCGACCCAGAAGAAAAAGTATTTACGAATACGTTTAATATTATCCAAGTTACAATGGAATAAGTAAGACTTACATTAAAATTGTTCAAATTTCTCTATTTATTGTATTATTGATTTTATATAAAGAAACACAAATTAATTATCTTTATTATTATGAGAACATTTTATCTTAATATTAAAATACGATCAAAAATGAAAAAGAAAATGTTTTAAACGTTATCCCTAAAAAATTATTGATGTTATTAACTCGATGATTAACGCTATGAAATTTATAATAGTACTTAAGGGTCATAATTATTTGTTGTCATTATTAACTTTAAAATGTATTACTAAGTGAAGAAGTATATTACATGACTGTTGTAATGCTTATTTTTTTAAATAATTGTTCATAGAAGAAACATTTTATAATCTATATAATTTTCTCTATATTTAGAGTAACGTAATATTTGCGCTTACTAAGTTTAATTTAAGTTAAAAATCATTTGAATTATTGGACCAAACAACTTATTTTCTTTGAATTTAAGAATGGTGACTAAATAATGAGAATACAATTGTTAAGTTAACTGATATATATATTCCTTTACGTGAATCATAAATATATATATATATATATATATATATTTGTTTATGTATTGTGTAGGTAATGGTTAAAAATCAAATAAAACTGTTTGGACATCAATATATTTCGCAGTAAATCGTTAACTTATTAAAGGAGGAGGTCTTATGACGTTCGTCTGTCCGTTTGATGGTATTTCGTTTCGTGTGTTAAATAATGTTAACTTCATAATGTTCACAGTATTGTGACTATGAAAATTATACTAAGAGTACACTCTACTCACAGGGAATACCTCAAGAAGGCATAACATCATCTCCCCATGCCACTCAGATATTTATTAAATTATAATTATATATTTGTTTATCTAAGTTATTTATCTATTTATGTTTAACTATCCATTCTGCTTAATTATAAATGTATCCACGCTGGTAAATTATGTTATATGCAATAATCCTAATAATCCTATGAAATTATGATAAATTGTATATCAGCAATTTTAAACATTATTCGTTATCTAACTATCATAAAATGCAATTCTTGGAAATTATTTTTAAAAAATGAATTTTTGAATATTATTTTTTTAAGCTGTTGTTTATAAGTTATTCATTGATGTCAATATTATTACACAGTAGTGTTGGTTTATATTATAAATAATTATCAATGTGTACTGTAAATTTCCTTGTTACTTGTTTGTGGAATGTTAACGACAGCATATTTCATAACGGCGAAATTTGTTTATTATTATTCTTTTGCGAACACCTAGGAAGAGATGTTATTTTGAAAACTTTTTCTCTTTAAGATGAAAATCAACTCCGAAATGACGAATATAAATGACCAAACAGACGATCTTCCTTTGTCGTTTGTAGGTTAAACATTTTAATTAAATAAGATTAAAAATTTTGTCATATGGGTTTGCCATACGACAAATATTCATTCTTTGCATAACTAATTTAAACGCCTTATCAGAAATGTATTATTTTTTTTAAATTAAAATACTTAATATGAATAACGAGTAGGTTTAGCTTATATTAATTTTAGTTTTTAATTATTGGTTGCCAATATTTTAACTGTTCCATTCAAAAATAATATTATTTATAGTAAAAAACCCCTATAGACATGCTAAGAAATGAAAGTTGATTTGTGTAACATCATGTGTCATTTACGACTTATGTGTATATAAGAATATTTTTAATTATACATTTATTTTTACTTGGCGAGTTAGTCATATTGATATTCGTAGCTGGTAGCACCCAAAAATGATTAAAAAAACGTTAGATTAATTCGTGCGACGAGAAGGAAAGGACAGTCGTTGTGGGCACGCGCGTAAAAATATATTTCCCCACCATTACCGTACCTATTGTCAAAGCTACTGTTCGCTTAACTCGTTTCCACTAAAATAGTCACTGTAATATCGTTCGCTAAACGAATCATCAGTTGTCCCTGTGCAATTGCCTAGACGGAGTTGTCGTTGATAGTGCGATACTGAAATATTAAACTGACTAGTTTTTAATAAGTGCGCTAACTGTCGTTATTGTTTATGGCGACAGCCATTTGCTGCTAACCTCGGCCGTATCCTTTTCCTAGAGAAAAATCAAAATACTTGTAGATCGACCGCTCAGTCTTTAGACATCTGTTCTACAAGCGAGTGACAACACTGTTTTATATTGGGGTAAGTTTATCACTAACTATCACTAACTATGCGCTTAAAAGTTAAGATGTTGTTTCAATACCGGCGGGGTATCAACAACGAGAGTAGTTTGCCCGGAACGATAAAATCGATACTTCGGACCGTTCCAAAAGGAATCAACGGCGAGTACTCTCTACTTGGCATTATTTCTAAGTTTTTAAATATTTTATATCGATGGAAAATGTATACAGTAATACACTTAAACATTTCATTTAGCTATGTAAAAATGAAAATATTTAATAGAAATTATTATGTAAAAAAATTAGCTTGCGGTTAACTCGACCTCGTCCAATTTAATAAATGAGCGCTAAATTACAGTTAAATGATATAAATGCAGGCGGCCACGTGAAACCTAAAAATGCAAATATTAAGGAACTCTGCGGTAATAATAATTAATAGAATTTACTGTAAATAATGTTCCTGATGTTGTGTTACTTAACTCATTTCCCAGTCACGAATACATTTAACTATGCAACGACCATGATCGGTCCTGTCAAGTGGAAAAATAATACCCAGTCACAAATCGTTATTGAAAACCGATATTGATTGATATAATGGTACCGTATTTTCCTACGCAGTAAATGTATTAAATACTCATATTATTATTGTCTGCATGTTATTATTATTGGGCGACCAAGAGTTATGTACACGATCATAAATGTTATTTTTTTTTTTCAACGGATGTAATTTAATTTTACCAAGGTCCGCCTGATCAGACTGTGTAACACAATAACAAGTTGTAAAAACATTGCCCGTGAACCGAGGATGCATTTTCACATTGGTGATTGACAAGTAATTACTGTTTACAAAATCCAAAAAAAATATTTTTGTAGGATTGTACAAATGATTTATTTTTAATTTTTACACCGAGGACAAGTATTCTTCACCGTGTATGATTTTCGATTTTGACACGGTGAATAATATATTATCTCGTACTTATGATAAAATAAAAAAAAAAACGATAATGAATATATTGCTACAGAAAATTTTGATGAAAAAAAAAAGTTGATTTATTTAAATAAAATTACCGTAATTTCAACATGTTTTAAAATTTACTGACCATAATGGCAATTTATAAATTAAACAACAAATGTTATTCTAATACAAGTTATTCAAATTATTATTTCACTTAACGCCAATGACGACCCGAGGGTAACGTGTTGTTATTTTGTTTGGAATTTTAGTTCTATTGAAAATGTTTTAACTGCATCTTATTACATTTTTATTTTTATGCTTCGGAATAGGATTTCTTGGCATTTATAACTACATATCGTTATCGAATAGGTACAACTCACAATACAATGAAATGCAATGCGTCAACACATAATTTTTATGCGCGACAATTCTAACATGACATGACTTAATACGGCTAATGTATGTTTTAAATAAATTTAATAGTTTCACCATTAAAACGTCAATTGCGTCTTTTATTAAATCGGTGTTAAGTAACAATTAAATAATAATTGCTGTACTCTATCGATGTTTCTTAGTAATCACTCATTATGTACAGTGGTCACATGCCGTGCACCTCTTGCAATCTCAACACTCGATTTCAATTAATAGATAGCTTTCACTTTGCAGAAGTTTCCGTTAGTATGTCATGATCTTAACATTCAAATTTTGGAATACCCAAAAATTGTTTTGAGCAGTTGACGATAATCTGTTGGCATTTATTTTATTATATTCGCAGGGGGTCAAACAAGGACGTTAGTCTGTCACCGGTAGCAACAATTAAAATAAATGGCGGTTTTCGACTGTCTTCGTCATTTAAATAGAATTTTTATTATTTACTTTTTTCATTTGAATTTCATAATATTAACGCAATTTAGATCGTTGAAAATTATAAAAATTTGTTGGGATTTATTCAAAGGATTTTCAAGAAGCGATTACATTAAAAAAATTTAATTAAAAACAATTTATAATTGTAATTTTTTACTTCATATCTAATGTAATGCGTTTTCAATGTGTAAACTTACCGGGATCAAGGCTATTTTTGTCATCAAATTATAATGCAACAGGTCAGGTCTATAATAATAGACTTAGTATCTATGATTTTATTAAGTCAAGAATCTTTTGACGCAAGAATACGGTTTATGTTTACAAATTAGATCCTTGATAGAGGTAGGTGGATGTGAAAAAAAAATAAAACATGTGTAAAGGTTTAAAAACTACTAAATAATACTTTTAAAAAATGCCATGGATTAAATGACAAAAATACTGTTTAATCTATTTTTTTGTGATAAATTTAATTTAACTTTTTTTTTTAAATCAAAATTTGATAAAATCTACAAGTTCAACTGTTTATCTTATAAATAATTGTGATTTCAGTAATTTTTTGTGGCTTTTTGAGTTTAATATTTTTTTAGTTTTACGTTAATAATATTTTTAATATAGTTTTAATTTTAAGTAATATTAGCCACAACTGATAGACTTTTATTTTGTAATTTCAGATATTTTAATAAAAGTTAAATGTCTAAAGATTTCCTATTGCAATAAATAATGCGATTTTTGTTTAAATATTTTATGTTTGACTAAGGCATAACAAAAACGATTAAAATTTAATCAAATTATTGGTTGTAATCAAATGTAAAATGTTTTCGAGCGATAATTGCCAAAAAAATATGACATCTAAATGCCTAAGGGCGTCTAAATGGCATTTGATTAAATCAATAATACAATTTTTGCTAATTATAAGTTAACAGTGACAGAAATGGGTGTGCCTAATTATTAATGTAATTGACTTCAATCATAAGTGATGCCAAAAATGTATCTAATGTTTTTGGATTTTCTTTGATACTGTTGTGAATATTCTAGAGAGAGGTTTAAAACCTAAGTCCTTGCGTGTAGACGCGTCTGTAAGGTTTGTACAGATCAATGATCACATTTCGTCATGCTTTCTGAAACGCATTTGGTTTCACGTAGCTATTAGTTAAAAAAAAAGATTAAATGTTGTCTCCTTAGACAGCAGGATTTCTCGATTATAACATTTCAGTAACCAATATGGGGTATACATCATAGATTACTTTGCAAATTATCATTTGATTGTTTTAAATATTGAAAAATTATATAATCTTACACGAAAATATCAAATAGTTTATTTTTAAAATAATCGCGTATAAAAGTATGTGGCATGAATCAGTTATAAATATGAGTATTAAGTGTAAACATTGTGTATCCCAATATTAGGTAAACAAAATGTATAGTCGTAAATTGGGAAGGTTGGCTTAGCCCCTTTTATAGTTGCCATAATATTAATTTACGTTTTATGTGTAAAATAATCTGTTTTGTAATATTATGTTTTGATTTTACAGGGTTTTTCCTAGATAGAATTGTCGCAACATGGCGACGCACAGATCAATTATAGTGTGTCTTGCCGTCACGTTATTGACTTGGGTAATTGGTTCTAATGCATTATTATCGGAACAGATGGATTGTCCGGAAGACTGCGATTGTCATTTTTTCCGAATTAATTGGGTGACCGATTGTTCAGAGAGCAACTTAACTTCTATACCACATGAAGGTCTTGATAACAATGTCTATATATTAAATATGAATGGTAATCACCTCAAAGAAATCGAACCATTCCCTGCTGATCTCAAACTCAGAACGTTGACGCTCTCTGAAAATATGCTAACCAAAATTCACAAAACCACATTTGCTGGACTTCACTATCTATTAGATATTGACCTCTCATCTAATTTGATCAATTATATAGATCCTGAATCATTTGTGTAAGTAACATTGTAAATATTTAATATTTTGTAAATTAAACTAAATTTTTTGTACTATGATGATTTCAATGCTGTAGTTTTTATTTAATTCTCACCGCATATTATGTAAATTAAACAAATTAATTCCCAGTTTCCACTCTGTTACACTCAAGGTTAATTCTATTATTATTTGACGTACAAAAAACATATTTGCTTTAAATTGCTATAATCGTAGAAATTTCTAAATTTTAGTTAGAAGTCACCTTCAAGAATTTGTGTCACTTATGCGAAGAAACTTTTCTTTATCTTATCTTATATTATTATTATTCTACATTTCTTTAACGTGTCTCTTCTCTGAAGAACTTTGCTTGTACTTTAGAGAATATATACGTCTAGTTGTATAAGTCTATTGTTATGAGGCCATAGGTAGATAGACTATATTTTAAAGGGCAAATTAGAATATAGAATTTTTGGTACGCATATGAATTCTTCACAACCTGTAAATGACGCCCTTCAATAAAGAATGTTTTTCACGATTAAATATTTAGTAATTTATAAATAGTACCTTACTTAATAACTTTTCAAATTTAAATTTCGTACAATTTTTTTCTATTAAATATTGTTTTATCAGAATATTACAACATTGAAAATATTTAAAAAAAGAGTTAACTATGTTTGTAAAAATTTATGATATGGTACTCAGAAATTTTTAAATTATCAAACACATAATAATTAAAATATTTAAGAGTCTAAGAAATTATTTATATCATATAAGATTATAAATCTTGATTAACACTGTTTATTAATATCAAATTTCAAACGATTCCATGAAAATTAATACCTTTAGCTCGGAAGGTAACTATTGCAAAAGCATTATACATAAAGAAAAAAACGGAAATTATTATAGCGAAACTTGTTTAATAAAGAAAAAAACTTATGTAATATGGTTTAATTTATTTACAGCTAACAATCATTAAGTATTTACTACATAAGAAAATAATCCTTTTTGTTAGGTTAATTTTATATCTTAACATATCTTTATTATTGTTTATTAATTTACCACATAGTAATGTCAATCGTTTTTTATTTATAATAGGGATAGTGCTGGCCTTATTACATTAGAACTACAAGGAAATCCTTTGGAACAAGTGGACGGTCCATTTTTATATTCAAAATCATTGTTATACTTGTACCTATCTGGTTGTCATTTGACCAAATTATCACCTCAATTTTTTGCAAACATTAGTGGTCTGGATAAGCTTGATATATCTAGTAATCCATTACACATTATTGAGCCTGGAATATTTGATCCTTTGACAAGTTTAAAACACCTTGTACTTAATAGCTGTAATCTTACACATATATCTAGCGTAGCATTCTCTAGTCTTGGTCATTTAACCATATTGGAGTTAGCTGGAAATAGTTTAAAAAGTCATGTTGATTGGACTTTAATTTTGGGAAATTTAGGCCGACTTGAACATCTTGATTTAAGAGAGTCTGGAATAACGAATTTGCCTGAAAATGTTTTTTCTAATAATACTTGGTTAAGAAGCCTGGTTTTGGCAGAAAACGAGTTATCAGATCTAGATGTAGCAACAACTTTGGGCCATAATTTAGTTCACTTAGATTTTCTTGATCTCAGCTATTGTCATTTAAAAGGACCTTTATCTGAAGATGCATTTGCTAATGCTACAAAGTTGCGTACTCTAATTCTTTCTGGAAATCATCTATCTGCAGCTGATTTAGCAGTAGCATTGTCGCCTTTATCTAAATTAGTTAAACTATCGCTTAGGGATTGCGGCTTAACACGTTTACCAGCGAATACGTTCCACAAATTTACAAGTTTACAAGAATTAGATATATCAAGAAATCCTTTAAATAATGCTTTTACAGCTCTTTTATCTCCATTGGAGTCTTTAGAACACTTAGACATGGGATACAGTAACTTACAGAGAATTTCAAGAACAACATTCTTAAAGATGTCTGCTTTAAAAACACTTATTTTATCAGGAAATAAACTTAAAAGTCTCGAATCTGGATTGTTCCAAAACTTAACACGATTAGAAGTATTAGAGCTTAATAATTGTGGGTTAGCTAGACTTAACGAAACAGTATTTTATGACAACTTTACCTATCCAGATCTACAAGAACTAAGATTATCAGGAAATCCATTGGAAGTCCCTGAAGAAGGGCCTATATTACCGTTACAATTATCGGGCTTGAAGAATTTAGATATGAGTAATTGTAATTTAAGTCGGCTGCCTACAGAAGCTTTTGCGTCGACTCCTAATATAACTGAACTTTTATTAAGCGATAACAAGTTAAGTAACGAACACGATGATTCATTGAAATTTTTAGAATCATTATCTGGATTAGAGCTAATTGATTTAACTTCGAATAATTTAACATCTATTAAACCTGATGTATTTACTTATAATAGTCAACTATTATCAATAAAGCTTGTAGGTAATCCATGGAAATGCGATTGCTATGTTGTGGAAATGTGGGAATGGTCTTCAACAATCAAAGGCAATATTGGTGTATTGATTGGTTCTACTAGAACATTGGACACCAACATAAATAATAAAAAAAAGAAAAGTTTAGCGTGTAATTTTGATCCTAAAACTTCACCTATAAAAGAGACAAAACTTAAAATGCTTAGGAAAGACCCTAGTGTTCAACGCACATGGGCAAGGTATGTACGTGAAGCAAACTGTCCTCACAGCTCCACTTTAGCAAGACCAGCCAGAATTGTTACAAGAGAAGTACATGATTTTCAACCATTAGAATCAGAATTAACTGAAAATGGAACATCAAAGTCGTGGTCTCCTGTCATGATCTTGAGTATGGCTTTCGTACTAGCAACAATTTTTGGTGTTACATTATTATTGAAGAATAAAGAAAAAACAATTAAAATGGACAAAGATATTTTAACTCATTCTTCTGAAGCTAATGTAGTACAATCTAAAGGAACTACAAACATATCTCGTAGAGCAATTAAATGACAGATAGGCAGAGCGGATTAGTTTCCCAATGTACGGTATCGCCGTTAAAAATAAATTTCTTTTATTATTAAATGATTTGTTTTAGTATTCAAGCACATTTTATACCATACAAATTAAAAAAAAAATTATTTTATTTTAAGTTAATTTATGTATCATTTTATAAATTATTTGATTGTGTGATTCCGTATGTTTTCCTAGCAGAAAAGTTCCTAATTTGGTAGTCGGTTATCAGTGGTCTTTTGAAAAAAATAATCAAAGTTTATCATTTTTATATTTGTTATCAAAATGCAAGGTCAAACAGTGCAGGGTAAATAAAAAATACCCTTAGTTTAATAAATGAGGAGACAACTAGTAAAAACAGTTTAATTTTTTTTCTTTTGATTGACTGATCAAATATGTATTATACATGATGTTATAGTTATTAAGCTTTTGATGTAATATTATGCACGCTCTCTGTAAAGCACTGGCTTTTGACTATAGATTGTGATGTTATTAGCCTTCGATATTATATTTTTTAACTAAGGCTAAGGATTGTTAACCTTTTATTATGACATTATACTAAATATAATACAATTACCAACATATTAAATTAGCTAAGAAGTTATAGTAATAGTAAAGTATATTCATTATTCTTGTTATATTTGTATATCTTATTAAAAAGAAAGTATATAATATTTTGTATTATATTTATTTTACCTATAGTTTTAATTAACTAATAATTTAAAATCATTTGATTGAAACTTATAATTACATAAACATATATAATTATAAATGAAATATTATCACAGAGTGTAAACTTCATTAATTATATAGTATAATGAATAGATAAAAAAAAAAAAATAGCACACAATCATGCAAATTTTACAGTTGGTAAATGATTGTTTATATTTGATCATTTTTCTGGAAGTAGTGTTGATTAACTGGATTGGATCCTAGATTAACCAGAAGCATAATAATGAGTTACGTATATTAATTAATATTTTAAATCATCATATTATTTTTAATGAATATATTCTGTTTGAATAAATGAATAATAAGACAATTTTTTCATATATATAATTTCTAATAACAACTCATATAAAATTTGAAATATTCAAGATACTGGGTTATTACTTTTAAAAAATTCTACAGATAAGCTCAAAAAAAATTATATGAAAAGTTGTTCATATAAAATTTTTTCACTCAAATTTCTATAACAGTTAATAGATACACATATTTAAATAGAAATCAACTTGTTTTTAAACATTTTTTAATATCTTCAATAATATTTTCACTAAACTTTACATTAATAAATTTATCTAAATTCACATTCATTTGTGATGAAATATTTTCAATAATTCCATTTTTTACAACAGCATGTGCGCTCTGATTTTTTAAGGTAATTGTAATTTTGAACTTTGGTGTTCGACCATATCTCCAATCCCAACTTTCTAATTCTTCTTTAATTTTGTTTAATCCTAAAGCAATTAAATAATTGGTTTAATATGAAAATTATATTTTTAATATTTTAACAATTAATAATAGTATGGTTTTATTCAAAGATTCCTATGATTTTCATAGTAGTCAAAGAGTCATTTTTAAAGAACAAAATGTAATTCTTATATTATTCTTTACTATTATGTTACAATAAAATAACAGGAAATTTTATTTTTTTTTGGTATAAAATTGTAACACATAGTATAATAATAATATTAAAAAAATATTTTCAAAATTATAATAGTGATGAAACAAATAAGTAAATAATGAACAACTAATTCACTATACCTGGGAATATCTTTTCATCTGGCTTAATGTAATTAAATCCGTAATTAACTGTATTCTTATTGTTTATTGAATTAAGATAATCAAGTCCAATTACTGTTACTAATCTATTAATAGATATTCTTTCATTAATTTCCTTTAAGTTAATAACACTTGAAGGAACACTAACTGTTGCATTTGTTTCTATACATTTCTAAAAATTATCCTAAAATAAATTTTAATAAAAATAAATAATAGCTTAATTTACTTCATGTTTCCTTAACAAGTTTGACATCAAATGACGATTACAGTTTATTAACAATGTGCAATGATGGTATGCATTTGGTCTTCCCAACCTTGATGCAGTACCCGAAATCTATAATTAACAATAATTTGTATGGCTATAAAATCTAAGTAGCAATATTTAATTTCATTGCTCACCTTATACTTATTTTCTATAGTTATATCTTCCCGTTTATTAATTTTTGTAACAATATTCCATTCGTTTTTTAAACTTTTAGCTATGAGTTCTAAATTATTTTTCCTGTTATACATATCTTTATGTGTAAAAAATGTTAAATTTAAATTTCCTTTATCATGATAAACAGTACCTCCTCCACTTTGTCTTCTTGCTAAACAAATATCTCTTGTGGGATCATAATTGACTTCTAACCAAGGATTTTGATGGCGACCAATAACAACACAATTATGATTTATCCAAAGGAGCAACAGGGATTTATTAGTAAAATCATGATTCTGATAATACCAATGTTCTAAAGCGAGATTTTCAAACACATTATTAGACTTTGATATTAAAACAGATTTTTCCTTCACAGATGAATAAGATCTTCGAAAAAACATTGAATTATCTAAAAAATATTAAAATATGTAAAATTTTTAAAATAAAGAATAACTATTTTATAACCTAATGAAAGTTGATAGGGTTAAGTTTATTAAACCCAAGGTTAGATAGGTTTTTTGAAATAGATATATTACAAATGGGGTGAGCATTTTTCAACAAATAACTATTTTGAAATATAAAATGTGGCCAGTTATTACTTGACATAAATTAACGATTAACCCATTATTAAATAAATTACTGTAATATTAAAAGACAATGAAGTAGAATCAATGATTTTTATGAGCAATTCTACTTTATATTTGATTTTAAATGTTTATGGACAAAAATGGTGAAAAATCACACATATATATGTATATTGAATACCTACTTGTCAGAATTTTATTTATTCAACTTCTAAGTTCATTTTGCATTCTTAATACAATTTTTTATTCTCTGAACTAATAATATTCCTTTGTTTAATATAGACATTATTTACGCAACAGTCTGAAGTACTTCTTATCATACCGACATTGTATATTAAATGTCCTTATCATAAATTACTATATAACAGGACTAACTGTTTTTTATTGACTCTAAAATTTTGGGAACAAGTTTTTGTTACAAAATATTGTCAGTCTTAATATTTATCTAATTATTTTCTGTTTACCATTAAATGTGCCAACTTAGAATGGGGATTAAACTTGGAGCAGTTTAATATCTATTATCAGTTTATTTGTATCAATCTACAGCATTAGTAAAAGATTTCTTAAAAAACCCACAATATTTATTCATAAAAATTAAGTTACGAAATCTGTTAAATATGTAACTGCTCCAAATTAGCCCAATTGACGGTAATTAATTTTTGTGTGTTTTCAAAACTTACCAAGTACATTTAAAAAAATTATATTTCATCGAAAATAACAATAATTAGATGATGAAAATTACTTCAACAGTTAAAATTGAACAAACTGTTCGAATATTCAGAATTATTCATTATTATATTTATTGTGAATTATTTTTTTTTAGAATATTCATGATAACTTCTTAATTCTAAATTATAATGTCAAGCTTAAGTAATAGTTTTTATAAATCTTTAAATTCATTTATTTTTCTAAATACTTTTTAAAATTATTACAACAGAAAAATGTTTTACTTACAAATTCCTAATATAAATATGTCTATATTTGACATTGAAGATGCTTCATTAGCACGTTTGCAACATTTTGTCACCTATAGTAAGTTATCTGACAAACCTAAATATGGTGAATATTTAAGGATCTCATCATTATTAGATTATTCTGGATTCTTGTCCTTAAGGTAAGTTTAAAAATAAATAGTTTATTTAGGACTTTAACTATTTTTAATTTTAGAACTCATGCAAGTTTAACAGGTGATTCAGATTTAAAAGAAGTAATTATTGAAGGAGAGTGTAATTTAATTACTGAGCGTTTGAATTTATTAAAACCTCAGTATATGATTAAATATTTAATTCATACTATAAAAGAAATAGAATGTTTGAATACTGTAGATGAAAATACTAAATTGTTATTAAAAGTATGCAAGGTGTATAAAGAAAAGCAGCATGAACCCTGTGATGAAAATTGTGATTTAGAAAGTTTGAAAGGTATAATATTTAAGATATTTAAATCTAAATCAACTAGCTATATATATATGTCTTAAGTTAAATCATATTTTTTATTTTTTATTAAATTAACTTTAATCTTTCCATTTATAATCTTTTAGTAATTTCTTTGTGAAATTCATATTATTACTTGCAAATTTTAATCTAATTCGCAGTTTTTAGGTGATAATTTAAATGGCTTATATAAATGTTTTACAGTTATGTTAATATGTATAATTTACCTAGATGGTTATTTTTACCTAAATATATGATAACAAAGTATAATTTTTAAGTTTTTTCATGTCTAATCTTTACATTTTTAATTTTTAGTTCCTTGGCAAAAATGCTTAACATTAATGATAGAATATAAAGTTTTTATTAACAATGGCATAGCAACTGTTCCTTGTAAATTCTGGAATAAATTACTAGTTGATTTATTTCGATTTATTTATACTAAATCACTTTACCAAATATCCCGAAATAATTCTTCACTTTATGAAAGAGATCTACGACTCGAATACATAACATATAGAATCAATACTTATTACAATTCTAAAGTGAAGTATTGGAAGAACAAAGTTTGTGATGTAGCTATTTCAGAAATATGTAAAAATAACCATTTGTTACCTCCATGTATGTTACTATCATTGGACTCATTGTTTTCTAACCATCGTCTTGCACATGATCCTAGATATCGGCTTACTTTGTTTTTAAAAGAAATTGGTGTTCCAATAGAACAAACATTAGAACTTTTTAAGCAGCACTATTCTATGTCTCACAATCAAGGAAGTGTTTGTACACATTCATGGGATGAACATCATAAAAAAATAATATATAATATAAAATATACGTATGGCCAATTAGGAACAAAAAAAAATTACAGAATGCAGTCTTGTATATTTATACAGGTAATTTTTCAGTAGATAATTTAGCTTTTTAGATTTTAGATAAATTATTAAATAGTTGTTTTTGATACTAAAGAAGCAAAATTCTGTCAAAATGTCAGATGAAGGTTGTTGTCCTTTTGTCAACTGCAGTAACGATAAACTCAAATATTTATTAGAAAAAAATATTAAGTTGGATTCTTCAGACCTGGATACAATTAATGAACTCAAAAATAGTGATCAACCCATTCGAGCTTGTCACTGGTATGCTCAAAAACTTAAAAATAAATCAGATACTTTATGTCACAATACTCCTGTGGAATACTATTTCAATTTAAAATCCAGTACAAAGTGTCACATATCTTTATGATCATTAAAAATGTTAATAATTATTTAATTTCATTCATCTATATTCATAATATTAAGTTATGTTTTGAAATAATAAAAATTAAAATCTAATTTTTAAAATTATTGTAAATACACATAATTTACATATTTAAATATCTAGCATATACAATATCATACAATTATATACATTTATGAAGCAAAAAAAAAGTTATGAATATTCATGCATAACAGAATTTGGAGGTGTCCAACGATAAACATATTCACTCCGTGAATGATTGCCATGATGGTTTTGTGTTTTATTTTGAGTGTTGCCATACATGCCATACAAATCGTCAGCTGAATCTTTAGGAGGTTGACGATATGAATCAGATCTGTTACTTTTTGGATATACTCCACCTGTAATAAAAATTAATGTGAGTAAGGTGAAACTTAATTATTTAATTACAGCTACGCACCATTATGATTACCACTTGCAATGTTAGTTGTCGTTGTAGTTGAACTTCTTGTACCATAAGTGGGCTCGTATTGTCTCTGTTGATTTTGTTGATTTTGGCGGTCTGATCTATCATTGCAAGCTGTTGTAGCTGAGGCAGTTGTGAGCGGATATAGTGATTGAGCTGGTAACAAGGGACCTGGACGTGGTAAGTAGTCCCGTGGAGGTAAATTGTGTGTGGATTTAGAATAGTACAATGATTGTGATCTGCTTAAGTTAGCCCTAGTTAAAACGGGTGAACGAGTGTACAGTGATTTACTTCCTTCATACAAAGGTTCAGGTATGTCAATTTCTGGCGATAGTGTTGGGGGAGAAAGAGGAGGTCTGATTACTTTGTGGGGTACTTGTATCTGACACATGTTTTCATCATCTGTTACCAATGAAAATTTAAATTATAATTCAAGATAATTAGTAAAAATACAGTTATTCTTACCGCGTAGATCATCTAGTGTGGCTTTTCTTTTTTGAGGATTGAATATCAAATCGTATACTATTCCCGCAATGATTCCTCCAGCACCTGGTCCGAACCAATACACCTAAAACAAGGCAAAACGTATACACTTAAACATAAAAATAAAAAAATAGAACTAATCAAAACTTACCCAATGGTTATCCCAGTGGTTCATGACTAACGCTGGTCCAAATGCACAAGCTGGATTAATGAACGGCATCTGTAAAAAGTTACTCATAGGAAATTTAAACGGGACCTGCAATGGATTGTTATGTCTTACCGCCACGAGACCACAAGCAAAGTAAACTGCTCCTATGGCTGTTGCCGACGTTCCTGTCCATTTGTGAAATGTATTGTTGGTCACGTAGTACGTGAACACTATGAAAAACATCAATACAAGGCCCAGACTGAACCTTTGCCATGGTGTTGTGCTGCTATTAGGAAGATCGTATAAGCTGGTGAAATAATTGCGGGCGGAAACGCTGTAGAATAAATAAAATCATTAAACTTATGGAATTATTTTAAAAGGACAAGACCAAGTTTGATGAACAATAGAACACGCAAAAATTTGACAAAAGATAGTTGATTATACTTAATATGTACCTGTATATAATGGCAGCACCTCCCACTGCGCCACCGCATTGCGCTGCTATGAACATAACTGTTCTGATAGGACTTATCCTTCTCGTAATCAGCATGGCAGTCGTCAAAGCAGGATTTATGTGTCCCCCTGAAATAACAAAAAAATCCTTTAGTTCGTTAACGTCACTAGGTGTATAATGTGTGGTCGAACATGAGGGAAAAAATCTTGTATCCCTAACCTCCCTCTGTGATATATTTTACTAAAATAATATCATATTTAGTCGTCTTGGTCAGAATGTTAGTTAATTTTTCTAAATCTGTTCATTGCATTCAAAAGGAACATAAAATAATTGTACTATACATATTAAATCAGAATTAAAGTAATATCAAAATTACGCTTTGCTATAAGTGAACTAAGAAAAAAATTTTTTCTTTTAATGGCAAAAGTGGTACAATTAAGGTTTCACCTCGGTTGGGTTTAATTTTCTTAAACAATAAGAAAATGTTTCACTTTTCCTTCCAAATAAAAAAGAAATTGTATTTTCAACATATTATTATTTTTTTACATGGAGGATATAGATTTCATATCCCCCCTTGATTATGTCAGTGAATTGTAAATGTAATATAAAAATAATTTACACATTCAAAAAATACAATCCCAACTTGATTTTATATAGGTCTTATAGTTTTGATTTTATTCGTTTATAATACATAAGCAGTCGATGTTCTGACTTTTATGATTAAGTTATAGCAACTATTTTCATACTTTGTACAGTTGTCACAACTCTTAAAAGAATAAGATGTCTATTGTGTCAACATCGAAAACAAATGGTAAACATGTGTAAGCCAAATTCAATGGCGTTGTTTCCGTTATATGTTATGATGATGATGATATATATAGTAGAGGTGTTTTTTCTTTTTGACGTAGTTATTATTAACAATGAAAATAAAAAATTATAAAGTCATTTGGTGTGTTGAGAAAGTTGTGTAAAGGGCGTCCACTCTAAATTTAATAAGCAACAGTTGATGCGATTCGCAACAAAGTCATTTGCCAATAACAAATAAAAAAATATCAAGTACCTAATCGTTCTATTCAAATAAAATAATAAATAGACTCAGAGTCTGTATTTTTATGAGAAAAGAATCTCCGAAAAATAGTCTACTAAATTTGACATGCGCATTTTTATTTCATTGATTACTAGATCCCTCGAAACTTCGTAATCTAGTATTTATAATAGTTAATTTGGCGCGAACACGAGTAGGGGTCAAATGGTTGAATAAAAAATCACAACAGATGCTTACTATGTACTGATACATATATTATAATATACCATCGCAAAACCACCACCACGGTCGACTTAATCATTATCTCATTGTCGCCAGAACAATATGCACTTGCGGCCCTTTTGATTTTTATTATCGCTTGCACTCAAGTGCCAATTGTCAACCGATACAATTTTTTTTTTTATTTATTGGTTCGGATATAGGGATCATTTTTTAAACGTTTCTTTGGAGAGCAGTGGACCAGGTCGCCAGTGAACATGTGCGCCCGTGTACAATAATAATAACGGCTTATTGTTCACCTCCTCCCCCCGGCGGTCAATTAAACGCAGAAGGGATATAAACCCTTATATTCTTTTTATTTGAAATAAACGCACTGACACCGCAGTTCGTACCGTGACTCGTCTATTGATGTAATATATGAAAAACAATACAAAAAATATTAATAAAATATATTTAAAAATGTTAGCGACGAGTTTTGCGGTTTACAATAAAAATGTTACTGGCACACGACATTTGTGAAGAATTGCGCTTTTACAGGTGGAACTTGATTTGGAGGTAGCACGACGGCGTTATTAGGTATAGAGTAATTTCCTCAGTGGTCATAATATGGCGAGCATCCAGGTGTTTTGATGGTTGGGGATGTAATAAACATAAACAAACGTTTTACTTCGTTTTCGAAGAACGACTGGATCTGTGAAATAACTTGAAGCAGTGAAAAGGGAACAAAATGAGTATAGAATTGAAAGACGGCACAATAAGTCTGAATTCAAATGATTTCAACTCCTATGTTATCTTGACATATTCATTCATATTGAAAAAACTCCTTGGTAAAATCAACAATTTTTTTTGCAATATACGTCTAATAATATTTTTGTTATATAAATAGTATTTTTTTATTTGTTGAACTATGTTTTTCTCTATTAACAAAATATTTGTTAATTTAATCAATTGTTTACTTGTCTAACAAAAATAATGGTTAAATTAACCAATAAAATTGATTTATTTAACAAGTTGGAAGTATAGTTCCGCCCTTTTTTTCAACAAAATAAATAAAATAATAAATTTTGATAATGTATTTGTTGATTTTACGGGAGGATTTTTTTCATTGTAAGCATATGGCGAACACATGTATGTTTATTTTATTAAAAAACGTATATATTTTCAGTGCTTGTCTTTCGCCGCCTTTTTTAAACAAACAAAAAATTCTAATTATAAGAATAAGTAGTATATTTCGTCAGTAGAGGATATCATTTTAAAAATGATTCATTGCAAAGGACGACAATATTAAGTACTTAAGCTATCTCAATGACACACGTAAGATAAGCTTTAGCAAAACTTATTCATGAGAATTAGATATAAATATGATGACCTTAAGATAAACGCATTGTAAATGCCGTGCATGCCCTTAACCTTTACTTATTAGAAAAATGCCAATAAAAATCACTTGAATACTTCATTTCATCCCTTACCTTTTATACTATTTTATTATAATGAAAATTTACCAGAAACGTTTTGGAGACACACGGTGAGTGCGAGCATAGTAAACCCGGAAGCGGCAGCCGCGCCAAGAACAGGCGATGCGTCTGAGGTTGCCGCTCCACAGACAACGGCTACATAAAGGAAAGTGGCCAGACATTCAGCCATCACAGATCGCCAAAGTTCTAATGTCCGAAGTTCGGCTTGCATTGGTAGAAGTCGAATAGGTTTTCGCCGCCATCCACCTGGACACCTGTTTCGCTCTATTCGTTCGATGGCGTCCAACATCAAGTTGAGATGATGGTCTAATTGATTCATGTCGTCGTCCAAGCGGCCCATATTAGATATGAGCCGTGGGTGAAAAAAGAAACAAAACGAGCCCGACGACAACCGATCAACACCGGTGCAGTACGCGAACGACACAGTAAACGATTGAGCAGTAAACCCGCAGAATGGGCCTGCGGCCTTCGTCGGTGGCAGGTGGTCGAATGTGCCCAATAAGAGAGGGAGTGATGTGGCTGTACATAATGGCGAGTAGCGTTCACCCTGCATTATATCTACGTTGACGGGGCCGATGTAGGAGGTACGTCGATGGTCGTACTTCGTGTGCATCAAAAAGACACCTTGCGATATTCAACAGATGATGAGCCATTTTTTTTTACGAAAACTAGCTATTAAATTTAAATCGATTTAAATCTGAGGGGATACGACCATGTGGAATAATCAATGGCCGATTTAAACTCGGGAGGTTCAGGAGAAGTATCAGAAATTTAGCAAAAAGCTGACCGGTTGCATAGCATTAGCGTTTGGCAATGGTCGATGGTGTTGCGTGGTTTCCAGTTTTGCCACCGGCTGACAACGGCCACGCCGCACTAGGGACAGCAGCTGAAACGGCGAGTGTAGTTATTTTTCGTGGCAAATCCAGTTGTTCGTGTTTACTGTGAGGTAGAAAAGGCGGTGGAGCGGTAGAGGAGGCGGGACAGCAGCAGTTCAAAAGGAACGCGTTTCGAGACACACGCGCTCGAGCGAACACATGTTGCGTGCCTAAAAGATTCCTTTTACCCTTCGGATAACAATCACATTACATTGTATGGGCACAAGATAATATTATATTATTGTACTGTCGTTTTTGTGTGCTCGCGACGCGATATTTGGGCACAAGGAAACGGAGGTATTTGCCGTACGAATCCCGTGCTTGTCGAATGAACACAGTGAAGAAAAATACGTACAGCTGACGAGTAGGACCGATATCTTTGAGCCTACTACCCCTCGTGTATTGTGTTCAGGACGCACGTCTGAGTAACTTGTAGAAAACACAAAGTCCTTTGCCAGTTAGTAAACGTGAGTTTTACACTTTGTATAAAATCAGCTGACCTATTAATGACACGTCTGTAGTTATCAGAACGTTTTATTTTGAAGTGTTCTTGTTCTTGATCTCTCTATGTGTAGCGGACTGGTCTAGAATTCTAACACGCGATTGCAATTTGGAACACGGCTAAAAAAATAAAAAAAAATATATATATATATATATAAAACTTATTGTTTTTGCATTCCCGATACTAATCATCAGGACTGTTTCGAATCTAAAAATATTAAGGTGTAAAATATAATATATATAATAAAAAAAAAAAAATGCTTAAAAGTTTTTTTTTTAAATGTTTTTAATTAATTGTGTTTTATATTTGTATATTAAATTTGAATAACCCTTTTGTACATATTTGCCTATTATATGCAAAAATCAATGTATTTACGTTCTGATGTATTTTTGGAATGAGTGATAAAAAAGGAAGACGTACTTTCGGCTTGTGTCGTACGTCACTGCACGAAGTATAATTCAATTTTTATTTGGCGATAGCTATGAAACGAAGAAAAACATCGAATTCAATTTTTATAGATTTTATATTCTTATGAACTGAAAATGTAGAGTTCGGATGGTGGGGTTAAAGTGGAAATAGCATAATAGTGTAAGTGGTAAATTTTACTCGTGCACTGCTATTATACCACATATTTTTTTATTATTCTAAATAGAAATTTATCTTCAACGCGTAATTATTTTGGTCGTGGAGGGAATGTATCTACTAGAACACGTTCTACATAATAGAAAAATCAAAGTATTTATGATAAAAACTGAAATATATAAATATTCATATTCATATTATATAGCTGAATAAAATCGAATTTATAGAATCTGGTTTTAATAAGATTGTGTTGCTAGGTAACAATGTTTTTTTTCCTATATAAGAAACGCTCAACAAATATTTTTAGTCTGTTGACATAACTCATTAATCGTTCGTGTTTACAATTTAAATTATGTCAGAAATATCCGGTCAGATTTCCCTAGTTCAGGACAAGTACGAACTATGTTGAATAAGTTTACCATTGTTTTCATTCGGAGATGAGTACAGATCGTTTGATTTGTAAAGTGAAGAACGCCGTACTTCAGTTCTGTTTTTTTTAAATATTGATAGATATTTTATTATTTTTAATAAAAAAACAGATAATATCCAACCGGTCTTCATTAAATACAGGGTGGCCCACCACTCACTGACAACTTAAATAACTTTTGATCCAATTAATATTTTTAGTTGATTTTTTTTTTAAATAATAGTTATACGTTAGGTTTGGTTTATTATATTTTTTTAAAACATAGGTGTTTTGTATTTTATACCCAACCCATCAGTGCCGACGCTAGGCTTTGCGATGCCCTGGAAAACCTATTAACTGCAAGATGGAATAGAAACTCTCCTCTTCCGTATTTTACGGGGGAATTAATTAATCAAATTAAAATTTGAGGATAAATATGGAGAGTAGGGTGGATAAAAAAAAATCGATCATCGAAATGAGAATCATTTTAAATTTATTATATACATTAAAATAGGCATTTTGTAAAATTTTTATATTCAATATTTTGAATATTTTTTTATATATTTTATTTTTAAAAAAATTTTACTGGTCACTCAGTGTTTTGACCAAAAAACCCAAAACGGACTCTGTTATTCAATTATTGGTTAAATATTATGATTAGTATATCAAAATAGTTTAATTTTCTGTGGGATACAAATTTACTAGTTTCAAAATTTTTAGTCGAAAATTGATAGCATGGATATTATAATTAGCGCCATTATACAGTATATTTCTAGTAAGTCTCAAGTAAACTTAAAATTAAAAAAAAAAATAATTTTTTATGCAGTTTAGCTGATATTTATGTACATTATTATACAATCATTATTAAGCAGAAGAAAAATTATTTACTTATCTTAAAAACTTATACTTTTATTTAAAAATTTAAATGCCTATTTCAATGAACCGTTTTCTTTCAATGATACGTCAAAAGATCACAAATCATATTTATGATAAGTATGGCTCAACTTACGAATTTACTAGTTCTACTGATTCCAATTTTCACGAAAATTAGGCTGGGAATAACGTAAATGTTTCAGTGCTTCTACAGTTAATTTAGATAAATTTTATCTTATAATTAAATTAAAAATATCCAACTGTTAACATACAGCCTGGAGCTACAAATAACGTATAGATTTTTAATTGGCCAATATTTGAGAGGTATTGTTACTCGTTCTATTTACGACAAAAAAAATATTTACCATAGGATATGTTGGATAATATTAAAATACAGCAAATAAATAAGTCTTTGTTTGGTAAATAAAAGTTGTGTAATTTTGATTTAAACAATAAACATTAATAAGCAGTACAATAGAAAATATTCTACTTAATTGTCTTTAATAGCTATACTAGTTAAAAATTAACTATACTCTACTAGCAATTTGTATTTTATTAACATATTAGGCATGTGTTACAAATACATGACACCCAATTGTGCTTAAGAACGTCCAGTTTTATAAATATAAATAAATGCTTTGTATAGACCTAAAATTATTACTTTAGAAATGTTTACTAAAATATTAAGTTCCAAATGAACTAATTTTTTTTGGTGATGTCACCTAGATTCGCAGTTAAATACTATTTTTACACATTAATCGTCATTTTGGCAAATATACAAATTTACTTTCAGTTTATATATTATTTCACTCACGAAACATGGCCAATTAGTCAATATGTGAATAAAATTTAGCGAAATTTACAACACAATATGTTCTTATAAGTTCAAGTTCATGAAATCATAATAAATAAAAATGCAATCTTTTGAACCAATTGATCTTATATATTACATTAATAATATAATTATTTAAATTAAACTTTTGTGAATTTTTACTACCCAATGTTGATTTAAATTTTATTCATATAATTTATTTAATTGAATTACTAAGACAAACAAAGATAAAATTGAAAATGTTTAATTAAAAAAAAAAAAAAACCTACATCCAATTGATACACACAATTAAAGAATCTATTATATTTTTTTCTTAAACAACTACAGTCGCAAATTTACCTAAACATGAAAACAAAAATTATTGCACAGTTAGTATTAGACAGGAAAAATAATACTATAACCATAACAATAATTGTTACAAATTTTGCATTGTACAATCAGAACACAATGATGAAATTAACTAAAATGTTAATTAATTGTAGACCATTTTGTTAAAAAATTATTTCATCAGTATCAACTAATAATTAAGATCAATTTTTTTAAAATTTTTTAGATTTTCATAAGTTTACAATTTATAATATTTTTTGTACCAAGTGAATTAAAATAAAAATTATAACAAAGTATAAAATTAGCTCACAAGTCTATTGATTTGACAAAATTTTGCTTAGATAACTTTTGGATTATAAGAAAAATGCATTGCTGTGGTTAACAGTATTTTTCAGTTTATCACAAATTAACAGGATATTATTTTTTATTGGTGTATTACTATAATTTTAAAATACACTTAAAGCAGACTATTCATCAAATGAAAGTAAATATAAATGATAATCATTATACATACTTGTTTTGCTTATATTGATTAATTTAATTTTTTTAACACACTAATTATAATTCTACACTAAGAAAAAGTTATCAGATTTTATATTCCAAAACAGCATATATTATTGATCGTTAATATTTTAAACGAATGTTACAATATGTGTAAATTTTGGTTTAGTGATTATGTTGGTGCTATGCTTAAAATGGTTATTAACTTATGTAGGTAGAACACTATACAATGAGTGTTCATTGGACACAGCAGTTTGTCTTATGTCCATTTTTCATCTTCAGTCTAGATTTTGGACGATATTTTTCTAAAAAGGCCAATTGTTTAGCATTGATTGCTCCTCTTCTTTTCCTAGAAAATATTTATATTTTGCAATTTTGTAATTAATAATTTGTTAAGAATTAATTGATTTACTCTCTAATCAATTGAACTGCATCTTCATATTTTAATCCCAGTTCAATAAGTGCTAATGCTACTAGTACTGGTGCACGACCTAGTCCAGCTACACAATGTACTGCAACACATGAATGTTCATCTGCACGAAACTGGTTACGTAATAGTTCAAACCATTCATCAATCAGCTAAAATTTTAACTATTTTCATACATTTTTCTTAATATTATATTTTATGTATAAAATATTAATTACTTCATTAGCTGGGGATGTCCCATCATCATATGCTAAGTCAGAAACCATAATACCTTCAGCTTTTAATTCATCAATTTTATATGTTGGCTCACAAACACGTACGACATGTTTGACATTATGTCTCTTTAATTCCTAAATTTTTTTTAAAAATCAATTAATAAATAGGGTGATCTAAATAGTTTAGTTAGAATCATGTACCACAGTGCTTAGGAACCAGAGTTTAATTCCAATACGCAGTGTAAAAATGTAGGGTAGTTTTCTAACCTCTCTAGCATAACCAATAGCTTTTGAGAGAAGATGTTAAATTCTTATATTTTTTTTATTTGTAATTAATTATTTAAATAATTAGTACTCACAGCTAAATAATTATGGATGATCTGATCATTAGGCCTGTCTGTGATTAAAAATCTCATGCCTTTATACTCAATCTCACATGGAGGAGGTCTGATATCTTTTTGGCGCATGATAGCTTCGTTACTCATGTCAAGCTAACAAATTAGTTGCTACAGTTAAAATGTAGGTAATCTTATTTGGACTATTACTTGTATAGTTCAATTCAAAATTTGAGGCAAGGCACAAAAAGTCCGTTAATCCATTAAACAATAAAATGGAGTTTAGTTCTTTTAATCAACAAGTTATGCAAAACTAATGTATAAAATAAATATAATTTAACAACAAGGATGGAGTAGAATCAATATGTGCTCAATAAACAAGCTTAACATTCAAAAATGATTATTTAATATGAGGTCACATTCAATGTAGTGTGTTGTGCCTGGCAATATTCACTGCTATCCAACGACAAATCCATGAAATCAAAGGCTGCTACAGATTTAACAACCTGCAAACAAAAACATTTACCATATAATAATGATAAAAGAAAAAAACAGTTTAAAAAGACCAAAAAGTTTATTTTAGATTATAATATTTGTTTTATGACTCATTAGCCACTAATGATTTTGATAAACAGTTAAAATTGATTCAAATATATATTTAATCTAATTATTGATAATTTACCAACACTGTACATAATAATACTAGAATATTTTAAATTAGAATACGGCAATATTCAATTGAAGATTTTCAATATAATTGTGTATTAGTGTTAAAACAAATGTAGATAAAAAGACAATAAATTAACACTTAACCAATATATAAGTTCAAAAATTATTCTAACCCTATTGAAAACTAAAAACTTATTGAACTATTATTCAATTAACATAAAAATATTGAAATATAAACTCATAAAAAATTCCTTCCCAAAAAAATTGAGCTTATCTTGTCTTGATTAAAAAGTACATATTTTTAAGCCATATAACACATATAGTAATGAATAATAATGGTTACCTATATAATTTTACAAATAAATTTATGATCCCATATACTAATAAACCAATTATTTTTTATTATTCTACTAGTGAAAATTTTGACTGGAAGAAGATGAATTTATACTATAGATGTAGTTAAATAAAACATATATTAATATTATTGATTTATATATCAAAAAATCACTATGATAGAAATAGTAATTCTGAATAATATTGGTTCTTATGAGAAATTTAATTATTACTTAATAACTCTGTAAGTATTTTAATTAATTTGAATAAGATCAAAGCTGCATTCACTATTTTTTTTTTAAACAATTAAAAAAAAATCTATTTATATTAAGCTTTTATAAAAATTAAACACAATGCTTGTATAAATAATTGATGTAATATGCTTTGGCAGATGGCACAAAATAATCGAATGCCAACTTTTTAATTAATTACATTGTTAAGGTTAATATTGTACTGCACATATCAGACCGTAATTTTAATTCCTCGTAATTCTTGTGTTTATTAAACATTCAAAATTCATAAAAATTGGCATAAACTAATAAAAAATTAAGTTCAATATATGTGTAACCTGTAAAACAGTTGGTCTGACCTTGGATATACCTTTTTTTTTTTTTTTTACTTTAATCAAGTCTTATACATAAACAGATATTGAATTAGATTTTCTCAATAAATCATGGATATCAAGTTAGTCAATCAATAAGAAACAAGTTATTCATTAAATATTATTACAAAAGTACTATCACAATGATAAGGCATATTCAGACTCTAACAGCAACTGAATAAATAGTTATTTCATGATAGTTTACACAGTTTGATAGTAAATAATTTACTATTTAATATTGAGTTTTAGGTTTTTCATGCAAAATTGAATATCACAAAAAATTTGGGACCCAACATGTTAATTATTTTTTAATTTAGTTAAGAATAGTATGCATTTAGCACAATCTATTAATATAATCTTATAACATTTCAACTGAGACTGATAGGACATTTTTGTGTATTACACTGTTAATGATCATGACATTTTCATTTAAGAAAGTATTAACAATAATTTCCTTAATTATTTGTTATAAAAACACATTAATACAATTAAGTAAACTTTTTATTTTATTTTTGGGAGTTACTAAAGAAAATTAAAATGTATAATATATTAAAGAAACTTTATAATATATTTTTCGATTAAATTTCTTAGCGAAAATTATAAAGAGCAATTGAGGTGCAGAATATGATAGCAAACATTTAAAATGGGACGAGAAAGTTAATACAGGAATACTTGCCAGTGTAATCAGTGGTCATAGGCAACAATACATACAATTAACGAAAATCGAAAGCTTTTTCGGCTGACAACTCGAGTGAACTGAAGACGAAGTAAGGGAGCCACCTTCAGACTTTTCTCGAATCCGTTCCTATTTATGGTCTATCATGCACGAGCCACTCACTCAAGCTTAATATAACATACACACAGTGACATTTCAACATAATATTAACGAATTAAACGCAAATATTTTAATTGACCAACACGATCGTCCGTGACAAGCGTAAAAAACGAAAATTAAACACGAACTAGCATTGTAGCCGCAATCGTCGTTGGCCGACATATAAGGCCACCTTCCCTATAAATTGCCTTTTCACAGTACGCAATAATCTCGAGGCGATTTAATGCATCGCAATAAAATAAACAGTGTTCGGGTAAACCCGTGTGTGTTTACCTGCAGTGCTCGATGAATGACCATGGAAGTAGACGTTAAATCAACGAAAAAATTGCCAAAATCTTTACACATAACAGCACGGCTGAATTTCCCGTTACTACCAGCCCCGGGTTTCAAATAACATCACTGCCACCGGATCAGAAATGCGCGAGCGTCTGGCCTGTACTGACGGAGAAGACGGGAAGGGGTGATGGGGACGATTCCCCACCACTAACGATTTTACGGTCACCGTGGCTGCCGTCAAACCGCGCTCGGCGCTCTACTCCAATGACCGCTGACGTCACCCCTTTACTTACGCATCACCATCATCGTTTGTGCATAGCTTCGTATTGTATTTTTCTATTATTATATTATTTACGTAAACTATTTGATGGCGTGATTCACATAAATGAAGTCCAACAACATTAAGTCGGTCTGAATGTGTGTAGGTGGTTTTAGAATCAAGTTCATTCGGGTGAACTTTTGTTTTTAAACGTTCAGGAAGCAATAATTTTTATAAAATTGTGTAATTTTTCAAATTATCACAAATAACAGAATCCGTCAATTTGATGGCTACTTTCGCAAAATAGAATCGAGAATGAGGTGATTACTTAACGAATAAAAATTGAGCTTCCTAAGATAAGGCCTTTTTTAGAAGGCAAGTTTTGAATATTATGAACTAGACACGCGATATCTCTTTTCTATTTTAGTTTGACCTCTAAAATAGGTACTTTGCATTTTGTAGAGATATCTTTTCTATTATAATTACGATCAATCTGACAGAAAAAAAATTTATAACGAATAGACATTCAATATACAAGTATATAGGTCATGTGACCAAAATTTAATTGAAGCCAATTGTCCAAGAAGGGAGTGCTTCCTTCATTCTCTTTTTAACCTTCCCGTTATATTTGAGATTGTATAAAATGAAATATATCAACATTTAATGTTAAGTTTATTTCTGAAGAATTTTATAATAAGTTACATAAATTTTAATGTTAATGAATTTTCATTGTCTTTATCGAACCTAATTGACAGACACTGATGAATTTTTGTTACATAAACGGAGTGAATAAAAATTGTACAACAGGAGTGTTGGCAAAAAGTGACCAGCAAATAAGAATTAGATAGTTTTCCAAAAATATTTTACTGATATGTTTATTTTTCCACCAAGTATATTTTTCGTTCTTGATTTTTATTAAGCCATTTAAATCTCTAGAAGCAAATAGCCGACTCCTGTTCTAAGATATTACGCCATTGATCTTTGCAATGTTCCCGTATAATAGAACATTTAAGTTTTCCGGCAGTCACAATTTTTATCAGATCCAGCACCTGACCAAAGGCCAATACGCTTTATTACAATTATCTTTATCATAACCAAAAATTCCGGTGGCAATTGACATAGTATAATTGTTATTGGGATTGTACAAATTAGCGTGTGGTTGGGTTTAAACAATATAGCGTCAAATCAATTACTAACTCTATCGGTTGTATCTTAATATGAATTACACTTTAATAATATTATAAATAAATAAACTCACACATATGCATTTATAACATTGTGTCTAATGTAAGTATAACATGATAAAAAGTAACCGTAAAATGGAAAAAATGGAAAATACATTTTAGTACACATATTAAATGTAATATATGAGTAAACTCGAAAAATATTTGTTTAAATAAAAAAATAGAAGATATTTTTTTTGTTTAAAATTGTCTTATTAAACAACTTTTGTACGAAACTTTTTTTTGTAAGTTAAATATTTTTTGAGAAAATTAAAAAAGCTCATATTTTTTAACTTTCGCAAGGCTTAAAAAAAGCTCAATTCCAATCGATGAGGACTTTTAGTATGTCATTATACAAATCTTAATTCAACTTTTTAAAAAAAAAAAAATTTGGTTGGGAATTTTTTCTGCCATTTTTCCTTTGTTGACTGGCCTATGCTACGTCTTTATTTTTATTTTTGAGATTTCAGTACGTGTATGTATAAATCGTAGTTATTATTATTATTTTTTTTTGTGAAGTATTTTTTACCATTCAAACATTAGTAAAGATTAGTCATAATTTAGAGTACATAAGATAATTAATAATGACGCAAAATAAAATTTTTTCTGACTTAATTGTCATATCACGTGCATACAGGGTTCAGTATGTAAGGAAACAGGTCAATTGTTATAAACAATGAGAACAATAGAAACCCGTTTCCTTACTTACTGAACATTCTACACCCAAAGAAAAACCTCAATCAATTTTGATAGAGAAATATTATCAAGGGTTTATGATAATGTTTTATTAATACGAACAAAATAATTATTCTTATAAATAATTATTGTTCAAGACAAGAAAAAAAATGATCATATTGATAAATATGTCATAGATTCAATAGTAATGATATATTTATCAAATTGAACAATGAATTTATTATATAGATCGAGGTTTTTCTCTGGGTGTATATACAGAGTGTTCAGTAAGTCAGGAAACGGGTTTCTATTGTTATCATTGTTACAAACAATGAGAACAATAGAAACCCGTTTCCTGACTTACTGAACACCCTGTATAACTTCATACAATGAAATGATTATTTCATTTTATTAATTTTTATAAACATTTCACTAATTCTCTTGGTATAATTTTTATTATAATGAAGAAAATCAGAAATAGTTTGATTATCTTTTAGGGGTATATAGAATTTCATTAAGTAAGGAAACAGGTTTCTATTGTTTTTGTTGTTTGTAACAGTTGACCTGTTTCCTTACTGAACACTCTGTACATTAAAAAGATACAACTGATATTTTAAAAATTTTAATTTAATGTGACACGTATTGTAAGTTATGTGATAAAAAAAATTATGGATAGTATTTTTTTTTTCTTCAAAATTTGGGTGTTAAGGACTTTTATTCTTTTGGAAATTGAACGAATAAATAATTTCACATAGTCTAACATTGTAAGTCACAACCATAGCTATGAAGTTAAACTTCGTTTGTAGTTTATTAACCGCATTTTCATGCATTAATTTTTTACTTTTATATATTAAAGTTATTTATAAAATTGTAATAATTTGCTAATCGTTTCAGTATTGTTAAAAATATAAAAAATGTGTATTAGAATATGGAGTTCTTATGTATCATAATTAACTCGTATTATATTTCAGCCATTTAAAGGGTAAAACGAACTATAACTATTATTCATATCAAGTTTTCTTTACTACTTATATAACTATGTCACTCAATACATAATGATTTATTTAACGTAAAACATTATGCGTTCGTCACGTTGTTAGATTTATCATTAATTAGAAAATAAACTTGAAGATAGCTGTTTTAATAACACTTAAAATTGTACACAAAATTATAGTTAAAATCGTGTATAATTTACAAATTTTTATTAAATTTTATGTTATGTTACACATACAATGTATATGAGTATTACTTATGTATATTATATAATAATGATTCGCATATTTAATGAATATATTTTCCATTCATGATCTGTTACTGATGTTACGTAGTATTAAATAAAATAGCATTCTTGAAGTCTTTGTTATTATTCTGTGTAAAGTTTGATTTTAAACGATCTTAATTAGTAGTACAAAAATGTTATTTATAATTGAGTATGTTCTAAATTCTATTTATATAGTGTATATTGTGTGTCAATACGATAATTTCGTATTGTCTTGACCTCATCATTATGTTCTGAATTTAGATATATTTTATTTAATACTCTTAGACAATATAAGTTTAAAAACTCAATATATCAAAAAAATGGTAGCACAGTGGGGTACACGGTTGAGCTAGGACAAGTATAGATGATATCTGACAGTGATTAGAATCACTATCATAAAAAACGCTTCGATGCAAATCTGTAGATAGTGTTTAATTTTAAGAAGAAATTGTAATTCAATAATTTAGTATTGTAATTTTTACGGAAAATTTAATAAGTAGTTTATATTTCGTTACCTCTATGACAAACATATTGAAATTTTATGATTTTTTCTAATTAGTTGTCATTAAGTTTGTTTTAATAAATTAGTAACTATCTCTTTGATATCCCATAAATGACTTGATGAATTAACTACACGTGCTTATCATCTTACTTTATCATAAGAATAAAATGTACAGTGTAGATGTAGTTAAAGACAATAACATTGTCTAACGTAGTCTAAATCAGACTTAAAATTATATTTATAAATAATAATGTAATTTTAAATCAAATATAAAAAACTTATAGTAAATAACATGAGCTTTAATTAAACATATATATAAAAGACTCCGTATTTCCGAAACATTTTTAAAAGTTTACTTTTTGTGCAAATGTTGCTATTTTAAATATATTTTAGATTTATAAAAAATAATATATACTTTATGAAATGGAGGTATTAATAAAAAAAATTTTTATGACAGTTTAAAAAAATAAGTTAAAAATCTCAAAATTTATCATTTAAAAAATGGTAATTTTTAGGGAATTTATTCCATTTTTGAAGAACAAGGAAATTTTTTTTGGAATTCAAGGGTTATGTCTTATATTTTTAGAAAATTTAGATATAGTTTGCAATCTTTTGACTTATTATTAATAAAAATCGGTCCAGTGAGAACTGAAAAACGTGGTGGAATTGACAAAAAAATAAATAAATACATAGTAAAATTAATTCCTTTTGGGCTTTGTATCAAAGCTAAAAATGGATTTATAAATCAATGAAAATGTTACATGTATTCTCCTCAATTTTTTTTTTTATTTATTATAAAAAAAATCTTGATTATGTTACAATAATTAGTTACATGATGTAAAATAAAATTTTTCTATTTGTTTCAGTCTAAGAACTTGTAGAACAGGAGTCGGCTATTTGCTTCTCGAGTTTTAAATGGCTTAATAAAAATCGAGAACGAAAAATATACTTGGTGGAAAAATAAACATATCAGTAAAATATTTTTGGAAAACTATTTAATTCTTATTTGCATGAAAAATAAATAGNAAATCGAGAACGAAAAATATACTTGGTGGAAAAATAAACATATCAGTAAAATATTTTTGGAAAACTATCTAATTCTTATTTGCATGAAAAATAAATAGTCTAATCAGTTGTTTAGTTATAAGGACCTAAACCCCCATTATATTTTTACAGTTTATTTTTTAAAAATGAGATCGTATTATTTCGTTAGAATCAATATATAAAAACCCAGCACAGGGGGG